GACGGGAGCTGCAGCAAGCATGGGCAGCCATGGAGAAGGTCCAGGAAGCTGGAAAGGCCAAAGCGATCGGTGTATCCAACTATCACCAGTCACATCTGGAGACCACACTTAAAACCGCGAAGATTGCACCCGTCATCAACCAGATCGAGCACCACCCCTATTTGCAGCAAGAAGAGCTGGTCCGCTTCCAGCATGAAAAGGAGATCAAGACAGCGAGCTACAGTCCCTTGACGCCCATTTTGCGTGCACCAGGAGGACCAGTGGATCCAAAGGTGGCGGAACTCGCTGCAAAGTACAAGGTTACGGAAGGAGAAATTCTACTCAGATGGTCCATCGACCGCGGAGATGTGGCAGTCACCACAAGTAGCAAGGAATCTCGACTACAGGAGTTTCTGCATGTTCTCACCTTTCAGCTGACCCCGGAAGAGGTGAGAGAGATCTCACAGCTCGGCCAGGGGCACCACTACCGGGTCTTTTGGCGAAAGCAGAATGGCGAGGAGTAATACTAGGCAATATTTTTGTGCATTATGATCTTACTACGATAGATAAATACATTGAGAATCACTCTCTCAGGTAGAGAATGTGCTCTGCAGGATTAGGAACATCAGTAGCAGCACCGGTATTCTCTTAGAGGAACGATATGTTCATACGAATCGGATCTAGACGAGACTCACCTCGGCAATACGGACGCTGCTCCACATTCCACCGTCTTGATCAATGCGGGGTTTGGATGAACCCCACGTACGGCGACCACCCTCGGTCCCGGGTCTATGTATCTGGATGATGTCCTTTCCTCAACTACAGTTGCATTTTCACCATGACTATCACACACAGGCGCCGCCATTCGACAGCCAATAGGAAACACTTTTGGAACTAATCCTCGGCACTTGCTCAGCCAGGTGTGGTCTATTACTACCGACGCTGGATGATGTTTTACCCCCCGAGTTGTCTCATGAGGAGAGAACATTCTCTTTCACGAACCCCACAGGGCCTGCATAAAATGCACTAATATCCTCCATCTGGCACAAAATATTGTAGTGCAAGGCACGAGCCCTATGTAGTAGTCCTAGCTTGCGACAGGGTTTCTGGTAGATCATGTAACTCTCTGGAGCCTTACCCTCGATAGTCAGCGCTACTAGACACCTGTGTCTCCCCTGCTCTCCACCCATTCCTCTTCAACCAGCTTAACCTCCTTGCTTTGCACATTCTGAGCACCAGTGATATGCGCCCCGATTCCACTACATTGATATTTCTTGAACTGTCGCGTTGGGACATCCGCCTGGAACATATCGTCCAGTTCTTCGAGGGAACGGCCCCGGGTCTCTGGCACCGTCAAAAATACCCAGATTAACGCAACCACGGAAAAGCCACCATAGATGAAAGTCACCGACCCTCCTAGCCGCGCTTGTACATATGGATTGACAAAATTGATCGGCACCGATGTTAGGAAGCTACCCATCGAGGCGAGGAATAGCGTGCGCTCGCGCAACTGGCCTGTCCCTACTTCACCCGCCACAACCCAACAGCCGGGGCCCCAGGTGAAGCCATACATGCAGTACCAAAGAATCAAGAGTGCAATGGATGCCGTTGCTGCAGGCGACGACCCGTGGCTTGTATCTCCGGCGGCGATTGCGATCCCGGTTCCAAACATTGTGCCACCGAGGAGGATTGCCCCGATGCACAACGAGTACCGACGACCGATCTTGTCAAAGCTGAAGAAGGTGATGATATGGACAGCAAAACTGCAGCCGGTCACCATCAGGTTGGTACGTAAGGGGTCAGGGAATTTCAGTTGCTCCAGGAAGGTGACGATAAAGTTCTGAATGAAGGAAACGCCCTGGGCTTGCTGCAGCACCTGGACCCCAATAGCAATTATCGTCCGTCTCCGATTGGAGCCTTTAAAACAGTCCCAGAGGGACGTTGCTTTGTGTAACTCTTGCTGCTCCTCGGCCTGGGCCTTGAGAAGTTCTACCTCATATGGAATCGTGTCTGGGTAATTCGATAGCGATCTCAGGACCTGTTCCGCTTCTTCAAAACGGCCACGGTAAATGAGGTAGCGAGGCGACTCGGGGATAAATGCATAGAATGCAATATATCCAATAGGCACTAGCAACTGACAGAGTATGACAACCCTAGCGAAGTTAGATATCACGTCGTACCAACTCAAAATCAACAGGGATGCATCCTACAGATACTGCCATTTATCTGTTCTTGAACGCGATAGGTAGACCACAAGGGAAGCCAGGAAAACGCCCAGGGAGTTGAAAAAACTATACAGTCCAAGAAAGGCTCCTACATATACGTCAGACGGTACTTTCACGATTATATCTCTTGTGGCCATACCTCGAATACGTGGTGGGGAGCACTCTGACAAGTACAGTGGTACACAGTTCGATGCCAAACCAATCCCCGAGTAGACAATGATTCGGCCAACGACAAGTTGCCAGAAGGATGTCACTGCGGATGCCTCGAGGGTGATGCCGATTAACATCAGCAGGGACAGGACCAAGAACGAATTACGCCGGCCCAGCTTGGATGCGACCATTGGGGCCATGATGCAGCCAAGAATGATTCCGGCCGAGCCTGTACCTGTGCCGACCGATGTCTTCTGGGACGGAATCACGAAATGCCCCAGGGCGTCATCATATTCCCCATATTTCTGCTGGAACTGGGAAAGACCCAATGCGCCTCCCCACCACCCGTTATCAAATCCAAACCCCAGGGCTCCCAGGGACGACACCCCGCCGATGAGCGCAAGCCTCCAGTTGAGGTCTTGATACAGCGGCTGGGCCTTCAGCTGTTCCAACATATGTGAGAGCATAGCGTACTGAGTAAAAGTGGGACGAAGATGGGGTGAAAGATGAGGCAATCAAGGTTAATGGAACATGATATACGACTGTATAGGGCCATTCCTTTCCCCGCATAATCCCCGGACGTCTACGAATTTGGAAGTTTGAAGCACTAGCTGTGCCCCCACGAAATCCCTGAAATGATGTCGGATGAAGCCGACCTTTCTGGGGTCCTTGCAGACATAAAAAGCAATTGTAGCCAATGTGGGTGGCTACGTTTATGTACTTAACTTTCCGTCGCAGCGCTATTGTTCACTTTAACCTGCACCGCTCTTTCCAAGGCATTTCTTGATATTGCTTTCATTCATTACTGGCGGATAACACTCACTATGGCCCGTTATACCAAGGCTATCGTACAATCGGCCATCCTCAAGTCTGCCGCAAACCTCACCGCGCAGCTCTTCCGCTACTCAACCAATCCCACAGCTCAGCCACTGGACTGGAAGGCTGTCGTTGAATTCGCTATCTTCGGCCTGATCCAGGCCCAAGTGAACTGCCATTGGCAGGAGTTCCTAGAAGATGTATTTCCGTCGTACTCGGCCGCAGACAAGACAACTGCCCTACAGGAGACCATCCAGTGGCGGAATATTGTCTACAAGATAATTCTAGATCAGACAATCGGGCTGTTCATAATGAATACGATCTTTTTGGTTTGCACCAATTTCACCCGACTCACCAGTGCGTCTGTGCTACTAGCCGAAGTCAACCGGAAGGTCTGGCCCCTGATCGTCAATGCTTGGAAGGTCTGGCCTGCTTGCTCTTTGTGCAATTTCCTCTGGGTTCCTGTGGAGTCCCGCGTCTTTGTTGCGTCTTGTGTGGGATTCGGCTGGAATATCTTTCTAGCTTTCTTCACGATGGTCAAATAGAGGGTGTTGCGATGGTTGTGATATCGCAAACTGAGGGAGATATCTATCTGTTTGAATTGTGTGTTGGGGATCACTTGGTGCTGTTTCTGGGCAATGGGTGGTTAGTATGAAAGGTTGGTGATGCACACAAATATCTCCATTTCATGTAGAGGTCAACCACACGGCGTGAGTTGCGATGTGATGTTTCTCGTATTCTACTAGTAGCCTTAACCATCTGCATAATATGTCGATTGACGGGATAAAGGCGCCACCCACGCTAAACTGATTTAGTATATAAACTAATACGAACATAGTAAAGCAGGGTCCGCATCAAATAAGGAAGTTTGAAGCACTCAGCTGGTCACAACTGTGCGTTCTAAGAAGGCAATCCCAACCACCACCATCGTCATTCATAAATTCTTAGCGCAGCGCCTCGCAACAAAGATGTCAAATCTATGCTACTGTTCCTCATTGTTCACAGGACGACATGGCATGGTTCCATAAGGTATCTTCATTATTACTTGTGGCGGGCCTGTGTGTTCAACCGTCGTGGCAATCACAATGTAGAAGTTCGACGGTCGATAAGCCGCGGGTTTTAGTGCTCAGCGACATCGACAATGAGCCGGACGATGCGCAGTCCTTGGTCCGCCTGATGGTGTACTCCAATGAACTACGCCTGGAAGGTCTCGTGGCGACGACCAGTATCTGGCTTAACGATACGACCCGACCGGATCTCATGCACGATATCGTGGATGCCTTTGAAATATCAGTGCCGTATCTCCGTCACCATGCATCGGGATGGCCCGACGCCAGCGAGATCCACAGTCTAATCACGTCCGGACTGCCCGTGTACGGTATGGAAGGCGTTGGTGAGGGAAAGGACAGCAGTGGTTCAACACTGTTGATCAATGCGGTTGACAAGTCCGAAGAGCCCCTCTGGGTCCTCGTATGGGGTGGTGCGTCGGTTCTGGCGCAGGCCTTGTGGCACGTCAATGCCACCCGATCGCCAGCGGATCTCGATCGTTTCGTGGCCAAATTGCGTGTGTATTCGATTTCCGACCAGGACAACACAGGAACCTGGATGCGGCGGAACTGGCCCAGCCTGTTCTACATTGCCAGTGTGCACCACTTCAATCGCTATGCCGTGGCTGGCTGGGGCGGTATTTCGGGTGACGACTACTATCACTTCCCCAATAATGCTAATAAGGAGGTCATCTCATCCGCCTGGGTCCAGCAAAACATTCAGGCTGTTGGTCCCTTAGGTGCCAAATATCCGGATGCGGATTTCATCCTCGAGGGCGACACCCCTTCCTTGCTGCATATTCTCCCGAACGGCCTCACCGACCCGGAACACCCAGAGTGGGGATCATGGGGTGGTCGGTATGGGCCTGTCACTTTTGGAGAAGGTCATTTTGCCGACAGTGTTGACACCATCGTGGACGATTCGGGGCGAACGATGATGGGATCTCATGTCACCGTCTGGAGATGGCGCGAGGCGTTTCAGCGAGACTTTGCCGCTCGCATGAAGTGGACGATCGCATCCAGGTTCTCTGACGCGAACCACGCCCCGGTTGTCACGGTCGACGGGGACAGGACTCGTCGCGTTATCCAGATCCCGGTGGAGCCAGGCCAGGAGGTCGTGCTGGACGCAACGGACTCCTGCGATCCCGACGGAGACAGCCTGACCTTCAAGTGGTGGCAGTACTTGGAGCCTTCTTCCAATAACAACAATCCCCGGAGAGATGTCGCTGAGCTTTCCCTGAGTTCTACAGATTCCCCCCGAATCACTGTCACGATCCCCCGAAGCGAGGTGATACGACGAGAAGGCCGCAACACCCACCCGGAAAGCGACAAGCACTTGCACCTCATTTTACAGGTTTCTGACGGGGACGTGGTGTCCTATCGTCGAATCATCTTTACGGTGCCAGGCTTGGGATCAGCTCGGGACAAGCAGAAGAGTCACGACGAACTGTAGATATCTAACCGTGTATCTCACCATTGACTTACGTGGTCATTCAGGCTCAGACATCCTAGTTGAAATAGCAAGTATTATTCACGTCTATACTAAATGGAACTACTGCTGAGCAGTACTGTTTTGAACAGGCTAGCCTGGTTTGAATCAACGTGCACCCACCAGGGTTCATACTAGTACCACAATCAGCCAATGTAAATCGAAACTCTTCATTTCTTGACGAGAATGGCCGAGAACGCTTCAAATCGGTGACTCGGTGATTGTCCGATGCCAGCCTTCGGCCCCGCAATCAATCGATTACTCATGGTGGGGATTTCCTCGGCTGTCGAGACGAGTTCCTAGGGACCGGAGAGATGCATTCAAGCCTTTGAGTTCCTGCATGCATGCTCGATCGTGTACGTCTGTTCTAAAATGGCAAACTCTTCCCCTGTCTACATCTTAGGGCTTGGAAGTATCGGATGTTTTGTCGCCCATTCTCTCCGCTCTCTAGCTGATAAACCCCCCATTACACTCCTGCTTCATCGAGAGTCTCTGTACAGCGAATTCAACTCCACGGGACAGAAAATAAGCCTTCAGGTCGGGGAAGACGGAGATGGAGACGATCAATCCGGCTTCAATGTTGAGGTCTTAGGGAGCGATTCCACACCCACATCGCCAATCCGTTGCCTGATTGTCACAGTCAAATCATCGATGACAGTAGACGCCATCAAACCTGTCAAAGAAAGGCTCGGGCGAGATTCTGTTATCTGCCTATTCCAGAATGGCATGGGCCAAGTGGAAGCATTGAATGAGCAGCTATTCCCCGACCCAGCCACACGCCCAACGTATATGTTCGGAATCGTTCGGCATGGCGTCTACCTGAAAGCGGCCTTCCAAGCTGTATTGGCTGGTCGCAATGGCTGCGTCTCCCTCGGCTTTGTAGACGCCGATGCCTCAGATGTATCCCGGCCGAGGAATCGGTTTCTTATCGACACCCTTCTTCGATCAGCAGCTCTCAATTGCCAGGAATTGGAATGGACATGCCTTTTGCGCGATCAACTTTTCAAGCTGGCAGCAAATTGCGTCCTCAACCCTCTCACGGCGCTGCTCGATGTTCGCAACGGCGTTATCGCGAGATGGCTCAGGTCAGACCGTTAATAAATCGCCTCCTGGAGGAGATATCAGCGGTGTTTGGCCGGCTGCCAGAACTCCAGAATCTTTCTACCGATGATCCCTCATGCTTCTCCCCCGTGTCCTTGGAGGCCGTCGTCATGGACACGATCAGAAAGACAGCGGGAAACTCCAGCAGCATGCGGGAGGATATCCGTCAAGGGAGACCGACGGAAATCGAGTTTATTAATGGCTGGATAATCAAGCGCGGCAGGGAACTGGGGGTGGAATGTGTGGCCAATTCATCTCTAACTGAACTGATCCGGTCTAAGAGTAGTCTATCTCGTTAAGTACGAAAAGCTACAGATTCATATAGGACCAATTGGTGATGCAGGAGTGCTGAACCATAGTCAGATATGCACAATGACACTGCGCCTTACTCCGTAGAGAACTAAGATTCTGCTGTGGGACTGGGGATTGCCCAAGTGTGGCGTTTACATCTGAGCAGGTAAAGCCTCCGGTCTTCATTCGCCTACAATCCACTCCACCGTTACTGCCATCAGACCGTGGGTAGCACATATGAAAGGCTACATCGTTTGATCAATATTGATAGAATATAATCCATTTGCCCTACATCTAAGATGAAATTCACCGGTAGAGTACATAGGCGGTCCCATCATTCTCCATCCTCCGCCGCCTCATCAGTTACACAATTCACCCTAGCCGTAGTAGGGGTTCTTGACCTCGGGCAAGTCACCAGGGTCCTTGCAGCACTGGCCGTTGATGTTCTGGCCTATTGAATGGAGCTGTCAGTCGCGATTCGCACATGGATTCAGGAAAAGACTGTTACGACGAGCATACCATTGGAATCGTAGAGGCAGTTGTCCGCACCAAAGTAGATATCACCATAGTTACTGGGCCAAGAAGCCTCCAAGGAGCAGCCAGGTTTAATGTATTTCTTGGTGGAGGTGCCGTCGAACCCAGCGTAGATGGTAACAGGGGGGCTAACGGTAACGGAGCTGCGGACAGCGGCGTCGTCAACAGTAATGTAACCCTTGTTAACATGCTATGGAGGATTAGAGAACAGTTCAGAGACGATCAAGGGAAAAGGATATACCAGGGTAGTAGCCTGAGAGAGGGCAGCAAGGCCCAAGGCAGTGAGGCAGAGAATGTTAACCATTGTGACTGATTGATAAAGAGATGCTGGTACAGGAAGATGAGATGATTGGCGATGAGGAATGATTGCTTGATGATTCTGGCTGGATTCCCAGGGGAGATGGTCACTTATATAGCTTTCTCCGAGCTATTGTGCCAGACCTCCTTATTCATGCTGGTGGGTACATTGCGCTTCATCTCAGCATAGTTCAGCACACCTGGATTTGGCCCCCAAGGAGTTGATTCCATTCTCGAAACGTTGCATGATGACTTGAATATTGGGCAATAGCTGTGGAGTATGTCCTCTTCCAAGACCATAATAGCACGCCGTGTACTCGCTTTCTCGTCTCCAACTAGCCAGTTTCGTACAATCAGAAGCCTCCCTGGCTGTACAGCACTGGGATCCACTCATCTCAACTACCATCACACGCCTGAGTTTCGCCGGTGGCATGAGGGTGTTTCCGCCAGCGCAAACTTGGCGGCAGCCCACCACCGTTGGGCGGAGGATACTGAATCCCCGGTCGGTTGGAGACGTCCCCACACTGAATTGGCACCGCCTACTACGCTCCATTAGTGCCAGCGAGAAGTTCGTTAGCACGAGTACCAGCTGAAGATGCAGGTATTCGATTGAATCACAGTTGCCTTCACTCATTCGTACTCAATCCTCGCTCGGGCGTGTTAAAGAACACTACTCTTGTTCACCGGCTACCGCGAAACCCATTGTGCTATATGACAAGCGCTAGTGGGAGTGAAGATCAATGGATTCAGTCATTGCGGAGGAATACAGCCGAGTGGCCTCTCGAAACAACCGAGTAGATCGCCATGTGAATCTTGGTTCAACCAAGTTCGACCGGGTTGCCAATTCTAGGAGTTCCTGCGATGGACATTGTGCCAACTCAGTCGATTAGGCAAACCCACTCTACAGAGTACTAGACGCGTTTAGCCGACCTAACTGCCTTCCTCATATAGACTACGGCACTGTGTCAATCTATTTGAATTTGAACGGTCGCTACTAGGGAGAACTGATCTGTTTAGTCTCGGTTCCACCGACCGGTGATGGATTTGGGTCTAACCTAACCTATCCAGTCTAGTCATATAAGTTCAGATGAAAGACTCCAAAAGGAGACCTGCCTCTCGTTGGAGAACTCCACTCTTGCTCCACAGCTGTGCATGAGTACTGTCGGCACTGTCGAGGTCAATGATCGGTAGCTGCCGATTCCCGTTCGCCAAGTGTATCGGGAGTGACCCGAACCATCGCCAGGACGTAGTCGTCGTCGTCGTTAATTGGTACGATGACACATGGATTCACAGTCGATCTGGTTCTTAGTCATTTTTCGTGGAATAATTAAAGGTGAGTTGTCGACATGCTTCGGCCGGTGAGTGTGAGTATACATATATCCCCCCCATATCGCGCAAACCATTAATTGTGTCCTGAAGTACTCGAGTGATCGCAGTCATCGTTGTACAAGCACGAGTATCTACGTTATTCTAAAGATGAAAAATAGAAAAAATATGGCTTCTGCTTCATTACTGCTACACTGTGCCAACATGCTCGATTCTTAATTTTGTAGATATAGTATTCCATCCAATATTCTAATTTCGGGATATTCTAAGACACCAAGTAGATTTAAAACAGATCAAATAGACCGAGTCTCGTGAGCTGTACTGTATTTATATAATTCTTTTAGATAGTTACATCATTTTTGAAAGTTATCTTGACAAGCGGTATAAGTTTCCAGTGACTACTCTATATAGATGGTTCAGCAAGAGTAATGCTAGTTCAGATATCCATAAAATATCCTGCCAAGGATATTTTATTGCATTAATATCTATTAACCTGTAATTTGCGGATATAGTATGCCCCCCAACATCCAACGGAGAGGATATGTCCTGGTCGCGATATCGTCTTGATAGCACAGCATCGACAACTATTCCTTTGGCTTCCCACGAACCTACAGAACATGGGCAATGATCCGGTTGGTTCTATTAATAACTAACGCCAACACTCCTCCAGCTCTGGAAATGCTAACAGATCAGCAAGATCAGCATTAAGGGCCGTCATTTCCCGTATGATCAGCGCTGGAAGCCGCACTACCTTTGTTACGAAGGGTTTGCGGGGCAAGCAGATCATTTCCACCCGAAAGTCAATTAATTTGTTGCTTTGCGCTCTTTATCAAAGATTTAAATATGGATGCGCCCGGTCTGTTTTATGTGCCCGATGTACCGATTACATCCAACGCCCGAGTGCCCAGTTTTCTGTGCAAGGCGTTCGATCGGGATCGTAGCGCAAACTACACCCTCCTACCACGCGGAACGCTTGCTTGATATCACTGGTTAGAGTACAAAGGGTGCCTGACAATGGCGGAGAAAGCGAATGGGTCAATGGATGCAGAATATCCGATTTTCCGTGTCACCGCAGAGGCTTTACCCGCTATCTGTGTTCCCTCCCAAAGCTTGGATAGCCGTACCAGATGGCCATGTGGGGGGGAAACAATACAACTGCGACTATGAAATCGAAGACTTCTGAGCTCTACCAGTGGTTACGTGATTTGCGATCACACATACTTGAACCGTCCAAGCCTCGCCGGATCGGAATCCTGAGACGTGAAGCAAGTATACCATGCATCCACCAAGCCACCTTTTTTACCTGCTTTGGTGGAGATTACGAGTTGGACCTGGATCCACACGGCCTTTGTCGCAAGTTGACCCTTCTCGTACTTTCAGCCCTTGCCCTGATGGCTGGGATCACAGTTTTGCCTTCACCCGAAGCAACGTTTCAGGTTTGGTGAGCGTCAGGAAGAGCCCGTCATCACGAAGATAAAAGGCCAGGAAAACCGCTCGTCACTCGGTCAATTCTGTCTCAAGCTCATTCTTCTCGACCGGTGGTATCTACCTTCACAAGCCTCCATTCTGATTCAAAATGCAGTTGCTCACTACTCTGTTGATCTCGACTTTTGTGATCTCTGCTTCAGCAGTCGCAGTCGATACACCTCCCCCCTTCATCCAGCAGAGACCCCCTACTCCTCCTCCCAACTCCGTTTGTCACTGTCAGGACCCACGCGGCTCAAATGTTAACTCCAAGACGGAGTACTGTTGTATGAAATACAGTGCGGCCTCCGCGACGGCCAAAACTGGCCAGGCTGTGTGTCAACATTTCAAGAACAAGGCGGCTAAGAACGGGTTTATGGAATGTTGCCAGCCATCGCCGGGCACGCTTGCTGACATCCGCTTTACGAACGGGAAACCTGCCCTCGATGACTTTGCGGTCTGCACATGAATGTAGACTATCCCGGAGCTAGAAAAGAGGTACGACAAGCTATATCCATTGTTACTCGAATGTGATACTCAAAGCATATCTAGAGCCACTATGGCATTTCTCCAAGTGCTGTTGGAACATCAGATCGTGGCATCCTGGTCTGGACAGGGGAATGGGGTTTGGGACGTTGGTCTGAAGAGGTCGAGCTGTGTTACGGGGCCAATGCTTTTTAGGATACATGTCCATGATTGAGATGTGTTGAGATAACGGGATATCTAGCATGGATATGTTACCTTGAGCCTCAGGGTTGGCAGTCTTAATATATCAGGCCTGTTTTTACACAATAGAAGGGCATGGCAGGATCTTCAGATTCTAGAAAAGCTCTGGCTGATGTTGTTTCTTCAATAAAATATCCGCTGGTATCTGTATCAGCATCCAACCTAGTTTGATATGGTTACTCTTAATAGATAATAGATAGAAGAACGATGGCTCCGATATGCTAGATACTCAGTGTTACCAAGGTATGTGCTATAATAGAAGTGGCTGTTAAAAGTAGGTTGACCTATAGTTATCACTCGTGTTGTCCATGCCACGTCAACGGAGCCCTAGGACACTGACCACCAGTGGGAATGTTCCCTACCCTTCATAGCACTGTGCGTTATAAACACGGCAGGCGATACACAAGGATAATTGGCTGTTCCACTGTCTCGACTAAGAAAGGTTTCTTTGATCTTATTCAGCCACCTCTTATCGTATTCTTTGTAGTCGTGGTCTTGGCTTTGCGTGGCGCAGGGACTGTCGGCTTACGACTGACCATGGTCCTGTACTCAATACTTATTGCCGTTCTCTTCCGAAGTGACAAAAGACTCCGTAGTAAAGGTAAAATTTCACGTTCAACACGCTATGACAAGCCTGTACCTCATACTATACTGTTTCATTTTGCTCCTTGCACCCACATGTGTCCTGGGCCTACGAGAGGATAGTCCGTTTGCTACCGACACATATGACCTTCCGAACAATGTATCCACAGAATACTTCGAGGCCGAGTCTCTCCTGTCTGTGCCACCCTTGATTCAGAGATCGGCTCAGGGCCAACGGGTGCAGTGCGGCGCTGGCTTAGGTTACTGTCAGAGTATGTGAAAATGCATCTCCTCATACGGCGTTCCAAAAGTTTGCGGATTCGTTTCTTCATGCTGATTGCTACCCACAGACATCGGAGGCTGCTGCCCGATGGACACTCGCTGTTGTCAATATGGGTTCTGCCTGCGACCCGGGTACACATGCTGTCCTAAGCAGCCTTGCCCACCGAACACGGTCTGCTGTGCTGGAGAATGCTACCCTAAAGGCGGCCAATGTTGTGACAACGGTCGCTACTGTAGTGCTGGGAGCCACTGTGGAACGAGTCAGTGGCAGATCACCATATGCTACCGGGATCTCACCGATGACGAAATGAAGAATATTTCGGAGACTTTCTCTAATAAGAACGGTGTCCCGCGACAGCCATCATGGCAAGGCAGCTCTCTCAGTATTATTTGTGTGATCCTACCCTCGTTGTATAGGCTACTAGAGTGGTAGCCACACTGGTTGCTCCATACGACTACTAAACAGCGACGGAAGGATGAGTGCTAAAGTCAGCGACCAAACCTCTCCATGCGCTAACGAGATTACGACCTGTGTCTGGAAATGGAATTACAATCGAAAATTGTCAGAAGTTGGAATGGGAATTTAGGGCCCATGATATATATCAAGAAAGCTGAAACACTCAGAAACAAATACAGATTATTTTCGTGGAAAGATTCCAGACCCTTTCTACCCCATCTCAAGTAGACAGTCTTTTTTCCCGATACGCCGTTAATAGAGTTGAAAGGCGATCGTGGCCATACAGCAACCTCGGTCTGAACTGACTCTACCTCTGGGACCACCACCAGAGACTGTTTTGATATATAGCATCATCCTCGTTGCCAACAAGGAAACCCCACTTTTTCAAGAACCAGGGGGAGACCTCCCAGCTGCGCGCATCCCAAGGGGTCCCATTTCCACGGCCATGTAAAGAAGTCGCCGTTGAACCCCAACACCGCATGCTATCATGCGCCAGATCAAAACACAGCTCATCCTCGCTGAACGCCGGGGTCCCGGATGAGATTGCTGTCAATGCTCTGGCACGAAAGGAGGGAAATGGTACAATGTCAAGATAGGGATGATGGGGAAACTTCAGCTGTTCTGGGGTGGGTTGGAGATCTGCAGCCAAAGTATGGTAGGAGATGGGCTGGTACCGAGAACAAAAGGGCGATTCCGAATCATCGTTTACAAAATCGCCTAAAGATAGCCCTAACTGCTTGGCATTTTCGAGAAAGGCAGACGTACTTGAGAAGCTCGTGAGTTTGATTGTTCTCAGATCGCTGCATTTTGGTTCGATCTGCGACAGCCTTCTTGCCGTACTAATGCCTACGGCTTCGATACTCCACCGAGGAGGTCCTTTCATTTGCGATAGACGACGAACGCCCGAGTACAAGGCCAATCCAATATTTAAAGGTACTGTGAGCTCGGATTCAACCAACTCGAGCCAGCAGCCAAAACATGTTTGATTGGCGAGATCAAACAAATGGTTATCAAGGGCTCCGCCCATCGAAATAATACCATATTTCAAGATGGAAGCAATCCCGAGTTGTTCCGCGTCGAGAATTTTCGCAACATTCTCTAGATCAGAAACGCTAGCGAAATAGCCTAATAGCTCTCGGTATAAAAAGTATGGCTTAGCACTTCGGTGATCATGTATACAGCAAGGCGAGCTGAACGGTATGAGCTTCTGGCGTGTATCACGCGATCCAATTCCATATTCTCACATTGCAGGGTGGCTGCTAACATGGCAGAGGGGTCCAGAGACTGTTGAAGCCGCTCGCCCAAGCTGGCCCTCACTCTGTTTCACAACCTCGAGGCCTGCTTCTTGTTGTGCCTTTTGTCGCTGACCTTGGTTTCCCGTGGGTTAATATTGACTCGTCGCAGGTAACGGATACTCGTACTTACGACTTCGCCGCTTAGCCCGTGCATTTTGCTCTCGTCTGCGCTCTCGCATCCATTGATATGGATACTTTGTATCGTCCGACATTAGGGGCAGGCAAGAGGGATATTGTTGGGGTTAATAGTGTCGAGATCTTGCCAGGTGGTGTTCAGGTACAAGAGCAGACGTCTCGCGTCTGGTGGAAATAAGCCGGATATAATCGGCGTTAAGAATCGATGCCTTAGTAACAAGGTTTACTATCTCCCCTACCAAGGCGTTCATTAAGATAAATTATAGGGCCAGCAAAAGTAAACACTACATAAAAGTCACCCCATCACAAGTACGAACGGATCTGCTCCTCATTCCACTGCCAGAATTTCTCACATAACCCCACATCAAAAAGGTCCTTGCGACCTGCTATCACCTTTCCCGGGGGGACAACTATAGCACATGTTAAACCTGTTCGATCTGCTGTGGGAAATTGGTCGGGCTTTGGGACATACTCCATTTTCCAGACTTAACAGACTCGATCTCAGGCTGAAGACCGGCATAAAGCTCGGTATAAGCACCCACTTCCGGTGGTTGGGCGATTAGCTTCTACAGGAGCATTAGCGGTGATATTGCTGGTGTGTGGGTTGGACTTACGACAACAGCGACTTGCCAACAGGGCATTGTCCTCTGTAGGTCAGTCATTGCAGTGCCCGGATCAAGAGTCTACTGTGACTTAGTACGGGTTCATGACACGATATTGCTCTAAAGACCCACAATACTGCCGACACCGTCCTTTTCGGAGCGCCGCGCAAACTCCACGGCCAGCAGGATATTGGCGGCTTTGCTTCTTGCGTATTTTGTCCAAGCTCCCTCGTCCTTGCGGTAGTCCATATTCGAAAAGTCAATCGCCGGGGTCGGGGCCATCCTGACCGCCGAAGAGGATAACCATACAACGCGCACTGAGTTCGGGGGAGAGTCTGCTGCAGCCCTGACAAGAGCTGGATAGAGCAGCTTCGTAAAAAGAAATGGCCCGACCACATTCGTGCCGAGCTGCAGCTCATAGCCCTGAGCGGTTGTGGACCCCTGTGGAGGGATCATCACGCCGGCATTGTTCCAGAGAACGTGGAGCTTGGATTCCTTCGTCAAGAATTCATCGGCTGACTTTTTGATTGTTGATAAATCGCCCAGGTCGAGCTGTAAAAAGACCATTTGCCCTTTAGATTCGGGAAAACGCTTCATGATATTGTTGATTACACTTTCCCCTCTGGAGGCGTTGCGGGCAGCAAGATATACTTTACCCCCATGTTGATAGAGAATGGATGCTAGATGCATGCCATATCCTGAGGTAGCACCAGTGATAAGGAAGGTCTAATTTGCACGTTATTTCAGTATATGAATGTTATTCGAAATGTCCTTCGCATACCTTGCCACTTTGGTCACTAAGATTTGCCTCGGTCAAGGGAGGTTCTGATGAGGAAAACAAGCCCATTGTTGATTGAGAGAAAGGATGAAGAACCAGGAAATTGGGAATTGTCTGAACTTCCTCCACCGAAGAGAGAGGGATATACGGACCTTGATATAACCCACGATTGCAATGGATTCACGTACATCTCCCACTTTACGCCATCCTCATCTGTACAAGGACAGTCCAGATGTCAGCATTAAAGTTGAGACTTTTTAATTGGACAAACTCGGTGGGGCGAAGGTCAACATTTAAGTTTCAATATCTCGTTCCGGAAGTTTCACTGAAGATCATTCGATCTCAGCACCAAAATTGACCGTTGATGTTATGCACCCAAGCTCTACCTTCGCCTCAATATGTACTATAGTAGCCTAGGTTTGATGAAAGTAGTGTCCCATCGGCAATTGAAACTGATATGAGAGCAATCCTTAAGCAAGCCTGTTCTAACTTTAGGAAAGAAAGTATCTAGTGACGGAATTCCATAAGACACAAGGCAGCAGAGCACCTAATCATGTCATTAAACATTGAAGCTGAAGGAAAATCCATTAGTTATTGTAACTGTGCTTCCTCGGCTAACGGAGTAGTAGCCGCAGAAAGCTACTGTGATAGCAACTGTCAATGCATGTCTCCCGAAATTGTCACCGTCTGTTGAAATATATAATTCTCTACTGGTATTGCTAATCGATGGGTGCAGTATGGTCCAGGCTAAATCTTAAGGCATTGTCCGACTGTGAATGTAATAAGGAACATGCAAGCATCAGGAGACGGAAACTGGCGGGTGTAAAGGGTCAGCTGATGATGCTGTGCCCTTTCCTTACATACCCGACGAAGATACCAGGTTCGATTTCAGACTTCAGGTGTGCCAAGAATGGCAATTCGATTCACAAACTTGTCCTGATACATACTACAAGGGAAGGCGGTGAGTATCACCGACTACCACCATGAATGACGTCAGTGGATAAAAGAACCCTGGCAAGTGCTCCGTAATCAGACTCTCCACTCAATATCAGATGTCGACGTATGTGATCTACCCATTCCAGAAATCCTGGCTTGCTCCTATACGTCATCGCGGACTAGCATCACCCAGAGGATCCAGAATATGTGTGGCTTCAATCAGCGAGTATATAAACTTGCGCGATTCAGCCCTCGAAATGGCCTATGCGCCGAGGAGCTGTTTGTCAACATAACATGAATCACGAACCTCCTCACGTTTCTCCACGTCACCATCCCGATACCGCGCTAAGATATTGCTAGGTAACATATATAGTCTTTCTTTACTTCGGCGTGGTTGAACAGCAGGAAATGTACTATCTCCCCTTTGTAGCATCTGTCACAAAACAGGAAATTAAACAGGGCTGTTAGCAGAATTCAAACGACATTGGAAGGTTAATTTACGCATTCGTTCACTGCGTCAATTGGAGAACGCCTAGCTATCCCAAAAAAATGCATTCCCGTGAAAGTTCAGGGGAAGGTTGGGAAGGGGGCCCTCGCAAGTACGCCTACAATCGCGAGGGAGCCCGGGAACGAGAGATGCATCTGTAACCAAACCCTGCCTTCCGTCGCAATCCTCGGGTGAAATACTTCTAACGCAATGATACAGCTATCTTCCATATTGGGGCTTTTCAGATTCCGAGAAGCATGCTCAACAGTCTATCGGAACCCACCCGAACGTGTCACGCGACAATGTCTTGACGGTCTTTGCGCAGCTCGCTGCACTACGAATGGGCGCTCAAAGAGCCCTGATATCGCTTTTTGATAAAAGCATGCAACACGTTGTTGCGGAAGCAACTCCAGGACTTAGCTTGCGCGGCACTGAGACGTGCGAGCGAACGGAAGCCTTATGGCTGGGCGTTTGTCGCCTGCCACGCCAGAAGATCGCAATGTGCTACCATGCAGTGAGATCATTTGTCGAAGACGGAGAGGACATTTTTGTTGCGACGGACCTTGCTGAAGACGAGCGATTCAAGCACCACCCATCGGTAACTGCTTATCCGCACAACAGATTTTACGTGTCAGTGCCCATCCAGTCCCCGGATGCATATGTCATTGGGAGTGTGGCAGTGCTGGACGACCGGCCGAGAGATGGAGTCCGTGATGAGCAAGTACGTTTTTTGAAAGAACTCTCGGCAACGGTTATGGATCACTTGCTGTCTCAACGCGCGATGCGAGAGGAGTATCGCGAGGAGAAGATGGTCCGGGCACTGGGCTTGTTTGTCCGAGGCAAGTCAGATCTGAACGAGTGGTTCTATAGTCGAAATTCCCCGGACAAAAAATACGGCTCAAAGATGGCACATATCAACAGGCGGTTGGAGCAACTGCAGGTCTCTGTGTCAAGCCCCGATGAGGACGAAGAGCAACAGGAGTGGATGGACAAGGATGGGGAAGCCACAACAGGCAAAGCCAAAGAAAACAAAAAATACAAATATAGATCGCCTGTCCGAAAATTTGGGAACCAACAGGACAGTAAAAAGGAGGATGAGGACGAGGTAGATAACAAAAAGAGCAAAAGGCAGCGCCCCAGGCTTTCACCTACCACTAGCCAACTTCAAGAGACACTTGCGCCGTCTAATGTCCGGTCGGTGGTCAATCGCGCCGCTTCTTTGATATATCAGGCACTGGATGTCGAAGGGGCAATGTTTATTGATGCAAGCGTGTATGCTCGTCGACAAACTATGGGTTCTACCGAGACTACCCATGATACACCAGAAGCATACAGCATTGGAAACCAGGTAGACGAGGACCAAGTCCCTTCTGCCTCATGCCCGGAGTCTGGGTTCCAAGGGTCAACCGATAACGAAAAGGAGGCCAGAAGTCTGGTCCTTGGCCACTTCACCTCGTCGACATCTGACCAAGCCGAGAATCTGAAAAACAGTCACTATATCTCTCTCTCTGGCGCTTTTGTGAGTCATCTTATTGACCAGTACCCCAAGGGGAAGATCTTCCACATTGAAGAAGATGGCTCCATCGCGCTAAGTTATGAGGGACTAGCCGATGAGATGGACTACTCAGAAAATGGTGGACGTGGCGCACAGACTACAGAGGCCCAGAAGAAAGACGTACAGCAGGAGACAATGGATATCAAGCAACTTATGAAGGTTTTACCGGACGCAAGATGCATTGCCATTTTTCCTGTCTGGGACTTTCAGCGAAGCCGCTGGTTTGCAGTCAATTTGGTCTGGACGGACGATCCAGGCAGAGTGTTGTCTGAGCCAAAAGATCTAACTTACATGGCGGCATTCAGTAACACGGTCATGGCTGAGGTGTCCCGCTTGGACTTGGAGGCAGCCGACCGAGCTAAGGGCGATTTCATTTCTTCTATATCTCATGAATTGCGGTCGCCTTTGCACGGCTTACTCGGAACTGTAGAGCTGCTCCAAGATATGGTGAACTCCTACGCGCAGCGGTCGTTGATCGAGACCATATACAGTTGCGGGAGGACATTATTAGACACGTTAAACCATCTGCTTGATTATGCTAAGATTAATACTCTCACCCGACCGCGGCTGTCGGATATGGCTGGTCGACAAGGAGGAACAGACGTGTCCAAACCCCAATCAGCGGCGCCTGGCTTTCTTCAGGATGAAGACCTGGGCGTGCTGGCACAGGAAGTTATTGAGGGCCTTCTTGCAGGAGCAGAGTATCAGCGTCGCGGGCCCAACGGCAACAATGGGGTAGCTATGAAGAATAATGTCAATACCCCAGAGTCTCGACTGATGACTATTGTGGATATTGAGTGGCAGGACAGTTGGCAGTTCAGTGTTTATGCTGGAGCTTGGCGCAGGGTGGTGATGAATCTATTTGGCAACGCTCTCAAGTACACGCGTACAGGGTACATTCGACTACTGATGAAGAAGGACACGTTGATTACGGACGGCAAGGGCCCTAGTGCAGCAGTTCACATCACAATCAGTGATTCTGGGCGCGGCATGTCTGAAGACTTCCTTAAAAATCATCTATACAGTGCCTTTCTCCAAGAGGATACCACGTCACCTGGTCTAGGGGTTGGTCTTCACTTAGTCCACCAAATCGTGAAGTCTTTGAATGGACAAATCAAATTTACAAGTGAAGTCGGTCGGGGGACAAGTGTCGACGTCGTTCTCCCTGTGACACCACCAGAACGGTCGACCTCCGTCCAATCCTCCGACTATACCGGTTTGAGAGATAGGCTAAACGGCATGACGGTCTCGTTATTCACAAGGAGCTCTCAAATGGGCGACCTAGGATTCGATCAGCAAACATTTGAAGATGTGCTGTCAAGTCTGGGACGAATGGTGTCAGGATGGTTTGGTTTAAGGGTGTTGAGTCACGATGAACTTACATATGAACAACCGGATTTCGCTATTATTACTGAGCATGAATACTACAAGTATTATCGACAAGGCTCCAACGAGCCGGCACCGGATAGCTCGGAAATCAAACCGTCGCTTCCGTTGATTGTTCTCGGTACACGAACCAGTAGCTGGAAAGCTCTGGGAGAGACTGTGGATGATTCTGTTATCTTTCTAACACAGCCGTGAGTGTTTCAGACCACACTGCTAGGGTCCCGTATTGACCAGTTCGTCTAGTGTGAGTCCCAAGACTCTCTCAACAGCATTCGAGCATTGTCTGGGCTTGTCAGGTCACTCTGAGGAGTCAATGCCAAAAAGCGACCACTGCCCTCACAGACCTGCCAGAAAGATCTCCCAGGGATCTAACCGAGGACCGGAAGTCCAAGCCAATAACAGTAAACCTGAGCATCTACAACAGACTGATGTTGACGGCGATGATGCGGCCACTAGTGATGACAAACAAGAATCGTCCAACAGCGAAGGAGAAGCTCAGGTGAACTACATGCCAGGCAACATTCTTCTCGTAGAGGATAATCAAGTCAATCTTAAGGTGTGACACTTCCTGGTGGGAGATTAACTGGTTCTAACGGTCCGGCTTAGATTATTGAAATGTGTGTCAAGAGTGCTGGGTTCAAGTACCAGACTGCATCCAATGGTCGGGACGCCTTGGAGAAGTTTAAGGCCGATCGATATGACGCTGTAGTGATGGGTTGGTCGCAACCTTTGCTGTAGCATTATGATAAAGGAGGATAAGGCTAACTAAGTGACAGATATCTCCATGCCCGTTATGGATGGCCTGACAGCCACCCGCGAGATGCGACATTTTGAACGCACGAAAAAGCTGCCACCTGCCACTATAATCATACTAACTGCTGTTCTGTCCGCCTCTATGCAGCATGAAACCATGATCAGTGGGGCCAATATGTTTCTCACAAAGCCTACGTCGCTGAAGCAATTGAAGGAAATACTGCAGAAGCTATCTGAAGGGAAGGATGTATCTGACGAAATGAGCTCATGATGTGATGAAAAGTGTGCTGATGAATGTGTGTACATAATAATAGCAATCAAGTGTATAGAAAGGGCGCAACAGAGGTATAGAGGGATGAATAACAGTGGCTACGGTCAGCAATGTCTCCTGCTTCACTTTCACCGACGACTTGATATGTAGCGACTCGCACATATAAGAGAGCTTATTTTTTGATGTGTAAATCCCAGTATATTGTAATCTGGAGGTTGAGATCTATTCTAAGTTCAAAGAGAGTCATCGTAATGTCAATATCCGTCGTAGCCGTGAAAGTGCAAGGCCTGCCTCGCCGTCTAAATTCGCCGTGCCTTCTCTGATCAAGAATGGTTAGTCCAACCACCAATGAGGCACCAATTGCTCTCCTTAACCCAAGGTGACCGTGATGCCTGCACTAGCAGAGCAACTGTTGGTGTCGGTATCATCGGGCTGCTGATACGATTCGGCGCAGTTGGTGTCTCCCGCTGAGCAGGATGCAGATGAGCAGCTCGAATCATTCGGGGTGGCCGAGAAGCCAGCGGTGATGAACTCCGAGCCGGAGTCCAGGTTGATAGAGGAGAGATCCCAATACACAGTGTCACCATCCGCGGTGTACTCGAACTGCAGGACACTGGTCTCACTGTCGGTGGTTGCCATCTTGATGGAAATCCCGCCGGTAGACTCGGTCTTCCAGGCCTCGGAATATGTGGCCCCTGAGGAAATTGTCTGCGCTTCACTGGAGGTGTCGGAGGTGGACCAGAGGTATACAGTGCTGCCGAGGTTATTCACGATCTGGACGCTGCCACTTCCACTGGTGCTGGCACTGGCACTGGCACTGGCACTAGAGCTGGTGGCGACGGAAGTGGTGGTCGGAATAATGCTGGTAGGACTACCTCTGGGGTAGTGATGAGGAAGTGCAAAAGCAGTCATTGCAAAGACCGCCGAAAGAAGGACTTTAGAGAGCATCATCGCGGATCGTGAATGAGGACTGACAAGGAGTGTCGTGGAAAGAAGGAGGGTAGTCAGATTTGGCTCTAATGAGTGGCCGGCTAACGTGGATTTGAGAATGAATGTCGGAGGATCAACCTCAACGTCAAGTCTAATCAAAGAAAGGAATGAAAAAACAGTAAGGATTGTGTGTGCAATGTGAGAACGCAAGTGCAGACGGCTGCAGGCTGGGGGCGTGTAGCTCTATATATGCCTCATGGTGGAGCCGGCAAAGATGGCGAACATTGGCCACCACCCCAATCAATATAAGCCACTGCTCCGTTCGATGCATGGCCCAGTCGTGTGTCATGTCAGAAACGGATACCCATTTCCACGCGAACTGTGGAGCACAAGTCTCGAACGTTCAGGGCAGGTGTTCCATTGGCCCAGGCCAACCTAGGGCTTAGATGCTTAGGCAAAAGCTTACACCAATACTGCAAGTGTCCCTGGATGTTCCAGCCTTCAAGGCCAATCTAGAAACAGCCTCTAGATGGGCAGGGCGGGTCTCCCACATGGTTCTGGGCCGACTGGTCGGTGCCTGACGCGTAGAGTGGAGCCAGCGCTTCGACACAGCCCACAAATAACACTCGATACGTAATCCCGGCTGTGGCTGTCTGACGACGCTTCGCCCCAGAAGTCCCCATCGAAAACGGATTTAGGTACTGGACTCGTCGTTTTGTACTGTGTATGTGTCGGTTTCTAATGAAGCAGTATCCAATGTGGCGTGTGAGAAAATAAGGGTTTGCCAGACACTGCAGCCCTAAAACTCACACAATCCCCTCCTCACGCGTAGTTTGCATTGCAAATTCCCTGGCAATCCGTTTCGGGTCATGATCGCCCATTGGAATTATTTTTTTGCTACTCTCAGGTTATGTCTTATGATGTGCCTTTCGAATACCAGATTTGTACGGTAGGATTAGGACGCACTGGTGTGGCAATTTATGCGAGAAAAGGCAGTCGCCCCTGAGTCCTTCTTTCAACCTACAGAGTATTAAGCGCTTCTTCATCGTTATTTCCATTGAAAAGCTAGCAGTTTGTACATCCAATGTTATGTTTCCCGCGTCCTAAACGCCAAATCATCCAGTAAATCCACAGAGCTGGTTGCTCGAGCTCGAGCTCGCAACGCAAGCCGATCGCAAATTCCTCGAATCAAATCTATCCCGATACTCCAGTCTTTCCATTCCCACATGGCTCAGAAAGCCCAGTAGCCCGTTGTAATAGGTGTAAGGCAGTTGCTACTATTTAGAAAGCTGCAAAGAACCTGTATATGACCGTGTTAGAAGACTTACTATCGATAGGGTGCTGGAGGTCGAATCATGGCCAAGCGGAGCAGCTCCATATATCTCAAATTTCTCCAGGATGGCATCCGGCTTTTATAAGGCTGTTCTGACCCAGTCGTACACTTCTTCATTCAAAAGTACTGTGCCTCCGACATATCCAACGCGAGAGACGTTGTCTAACAGCCGTATCGGTTTTCGGCGTATCTCACGAACAGTGGTATCGTCAAAGGCCACATAGGTAAGATCCAGAGCATAGCCCTTGCGCAAAAGAGAGAGGATGAGGTCCAGAAAGATATACTCCATAGCTGGATCGTCGTGGACTAGGTCGATCTGGAGTACACGTAAATGGGTCAATAGCAGTGCGGTCTCCATCAATTCCTGGTGGGAAACTGGGTCAGTGGTACCTCTGAACAGTATTTACCTACGTCAAACTCACTCGATTCAGGGTCGCTTGACTCAAGCAGAGTTCTTGGATACCGGGCAGTGCCTCTACCACGTATCTGATATCTGACACGTCTAGCATATAGCTCGACCCATCCAGCAACGAAGGCAGGCCCAGAACCCTCAGAGTTGGAGTATGGTACCTTCTTAAACCATCCACGAGATCGCGAATTGGCTCCATAGGTTGTATGGTGTCAGATGGGACCAGATGAAATGCCTCCAAACCACTGAAAGAAGAAATGAACTCTTGGATGCCCTTGGAACCTAGGTTCACCCTCAGCCTAAGCGGACGCAGTCCGGCTTCAACAGATGCGTCCCAGAACTCTGTTGAATCTTGTGCCAGGTGTCTCGGTCCAAGCTCTAGCGTTAGTTCTCTCAACTTGGTCGGTGGAATTGCTGCCCACATGCTTTTTGCCGAGATTCCTATACTGGAAAACCCACGGATGTCTAAAGAGCGCAACCGAAACGGAGCAGGGGTATCCCAGTCCTCTACGAGACTGCTAACGCTTAGCTGGGACCGGTCATCGGCCCATATAGAAAGACGCTCTAGTTGCGTAGCATCCTTCAGAGCTATACCTAGTGATTGTAAAACTAAGACGTTATCGACTTGGGTGAGGTGCATCACCCTTAGCTTGACTGTTGTGTGGAGGTCCAACGGTGGGCGAAAGAACGGCTTCGGGGTGCCGTCCGTACCCATACGGATTCGCAAGCACTGCAGCCTCTCTTGCAACAGTACGGTTGTCAGCAAGATCTGTGTCAGTGAAATTTGCATGTCCCAGCTGGAAGGTAGGTTAGCCCATCCCCTTCCAGATGATAGCCATGGGTATTATTGGGCACCCAATAGGATAGGTAAAAGATGGATAGTACATGAACTCCTCTAAATTCGGCATCCTGAGAATGCAATTGCAGATGATGTTGCTGAACATGCGAGCTGCCGGAGAGAGAATTTTGTGCTCGGCAAGTTCAGAGTCAATCGCAGCATAAGTCTCGTACCAGGATCCTGACACGACCACGCGCCTTGTATACACGAGCTTGTCAAATCTGAGATCTCCAAGGATATCCAGTTGTAACAAGAGCTGATCATCCGGCTTGATGCGCCCTGGGCTATGGAAGCGCACTGTATGGTACAGGTACGGCGTTGCCAGATTGTGCAATTCATGCGACACTCGGGCCAGCATGGCGAGGTCGTTTACTGTCAACTGGCGATATATGTTAGGTTTTTAAGACGCATTGAGTGAGACAGAGAAGAGTGCGAGCCCACATGCTGGCGTATGTTCGCCATGAAAAATCGGATCATGTCTGCCATCATCGCAGGATAGCCACAGCTATGTAGAATGAGGTTTTTGAAGAGTGCCCGATATTAAATATTGACAGCGATCACTCCCAACTCACGAAGGATATAACATTTTGCCACTTCCCATAGACAGATATGATCAAAAGGAGCGGCAAACACTTCTGCGGTATGTACTCTAGTGATGCAATGAAAACGTAGTGTCCAACAGGTGTCACTTGTTTAGATCTGTTATGAAGAATCTCTTTGCTGTGGATGGGTGTGAACTGTCGTAATCGTCCAACCTCTTTGCCAAAGGTGTTTCGCAAGGTGCTACTCATGATACCAACTGTTATTCTATGTGCCCATGTCCCTGACCGAGCGCGCATTCCTCAATGATATCATGGCGCGGTCATACTAGGTGCTTTTCCATGGATACAAACCGAACCGCGAACCCTATTAGAGGTGATAGGATAATGTATCCGAACCACAACTCTCAGGGTCTACTAGTTCCTCGGATTATGGATCAAGTTGCTATTCAATCCCATCCGACCGGCACGATTCTCTTTCGCATCGGTCCATAACATGGTTGGTATCGATCTCGGGCATATATGGATGGCGATATGTTACCAACTTGAGATCTACCTGGAGGTATATACCAGCAACCTCGTAGCCTATTGATACGGATTGGGGACTAGTCGAACCAACAATGACATCTATAATTGGAAGGAAAAGCCTGTTATTATCAATATGCCTCCTGTGCACGTGATAGCAATGACAGAACAAGGTATCGACCTGCGTCACTAAGACATGCTAGCACACAAATGAAGGTACAGGGCGAGATCCCGGAATCTACCATGACACGAGATGTAAGAATGGCGTAATTATGAAAGGTTGAAGTGGCAAAACACACATAAAACCAATGTGAGATTTTGTGACACCATATGCGGGCTTCAGACACCTCGGCGTTGTGTGGGTGGGTTTATCTCTCCACGATATAAGAGATTATCATATTGTCATGTCACGGCGCATATAGAGCTCCCAGCATTACAACTCTGGGAAGCGACACAACACTTGTCATCGAGCCTCGTGCTTGCACAGGGCCTGGAGACCTCCAACGTCTTTCGTCTCAAGGATAGCGGTAGGATGATTTTCCACGATGTTCGAAGTGTCCTCATTTCGCGCCCCGAGTATTCAATGATTTCCGTCGATTCTCCCTCACTTCACGCGCGTTCTCCATCAGAATATTCTGGAGGCAGCGGCTCCCTTGGTCGCTTCCTTTGGTTCGGGCGTCATTCAGGAGTTCGGTGAGCGCATTCTTCATGTGGAGACTGTAGGCGAGGGCTTGTTTGTTTGGCTGCTGCACCTGACCAGTCGATGCCGAGCCAGTCTGATCATGCAGCCCAGCTGTTGCGGAAGAGCTCGAGCGCTTGAGGACGGGGTTCGAACGAACGGTTGGTACACGATTGGTCGACGCGGCTGGTTGGGCACTTTTGCGCCGGTGATCCATGGCGTAGAACGAGAGTGATCGAATGCTGTAAGAAACTCACTATTGCTGTAGCAGTATGCGGAAGCGATGCTCAATATAAAGCAGGAGGCGCTATACAGCAACAAAGAAGCTGCTAGGGTTGAGCGTAAGCATGACGTATCGCACGATCTGCGACGTCGAAGCAGTGGCGACGCACTTGATTGGTCGGGACGCTTGCCGGACTCTTTCACAAGAGGACTTAATACTGCTAAAATAATACTCAATAATGCTAGGAATACCTCTATAGATCATGCATTTCCTGGTCCTAATTCCCAGTTGGAGGGAGTCACAGGTCACGACAAATGAACCTGTACCACGTGAAGACGAACACAATCCAACCCTAACACACCCACGTCTTCTAGCATCAGAAGTTCCATGCAGAGAGCCTGGTAGGTGCGTATCGGTACTACTATTGCCTGGTCTACATTCGTCATAAACCAGGTCAATGTCCTTGGTAATGCCATAGGAAAGCTTTCAAGCTGGTCTTGCGCTGGCCCTGTCCATGATACAGGCTCCCCCACTATGGACAAACTAGATATGTAGTATGAACCGATGCCAAATGAAAAGGATGACGAACATATAAGTACCCCGTTCCAAAGGCAAATATCTGCTGAAGAAGGGGGGTTTCATTGTACAACTTCCAATAGTGAATCCAACTATAGCTTCGGCCTCCCACTTCCAGAAAAGTGATACACAACATCACTAAACTTGGTTTCCGGAAAGACATAGAGCCATTGTAGCTCTTCCTCCTCATTATTCGTAACCGAGTGTTCCACGTCACCCGGGATAAACACTGCACACCCCTTTTCAACCTTGTGGTGCACTCCATCGATAGTCACTACTCCCCGACCACGAAGAATGTAGTATATCTCGGCCTGAGCATGGTGATGGCTGCATAGGTACCCAGAGTATCCTGGACAGACAGCGATCCCTGCAGAGAGGTTGTTCGTTGGGGTCTTCGGCTGAGTGAAAAGCGTGCGCCACGACACCTCGCCTCGCGAAGGGTCTTCGAATGACTCAGATGCAAGATTAGAGATCGTACTTGGTGCAAGCACGATCGGTTTAGCTTTCAGCATTGTAGAAGCTGCGATTATCTCAGCAAATACGAGCGGGTTGATGACCATAATCAAACATACTAGGACGAGAAAATGCCTATCTTTCTTTAAAGGGGGAGTATAACGTCGGTAGATATGTTATAACGAAAATTTGGAAAGCATCTCCATAGGCCTGCAATCTTCTGTTCCTCGGTCGACCTTCAAACCGTTCGGATGAAGGGAATTTAATCGTGGAGTGAGGAGAGATGCTGGGCCCAAGCACAGAACTATGGGATTTGTTGCCTCTTTCGGGAATAGCTTTGCAGTGTATCACATCGAACGATATATCGCACAATAGAATATTGAATTGGGGTATTGAGTCTAGAATAATGCGTTACGTACTACATACATGGAGCTGCCCAAACGCCGACCTTGTCCAGCAGTTAACCACTCATATACTCCTTTTCCTGCGATTCTACCGCCTCTCGCAAGACCACACAGATCTTCCGCAATTCCGTCTCGGTAACAGTAAAAGGAGGCGCCAGGAGGATGTGATCGCCTCGCATGCCATCGACCGTCCCCGCACCAGGATAGACGGCTACTCCTCGTTCGAACGCGGCTTGTTGGACTCGCAAGCCGAACTTAACCGTGGGATCAAATGTCGCCTTGGTTACTCTGTCCTGCACGAACTCCACGGCCCAGAAGAGGCCTCGTCCGCGAATATCGCCAACTGAGGGGCAGTGCGCCAATTCCGTCCTCAGTTGCTGTTCCAGAATCTGTCCCAGAGCGGCACAGCGTTCCACCAGACTCTCTCGCCGAACGATCTTCTGAACCGCCAAGGCGGCGGCGCAAGAGACGGGGTGGGCCTGGTAAGTGTGTCCATGGTTGAAAGCGTTGCTCCCTTTACGGAGTACATCAATTACCTTCTTGTGGACCAAGACTCCTGCGATGGGTGCATATCCTCCCCCTAGTCCCTTAGCGATGGTCATGATGTCGGGCACGACCTTTTCCTGTTCAAAAGCGAAAAAGGTCCCCGAGCGCCCCACGCCGCACATAATCTCATCAAGAATCAGTAGAATGCCGTATTGATCGCACAGGGCCCGGACGCCGGTAAAGTATCCGGCAGGTGCTGTGACGCAACCCGCGGTCGCGCCAACGATCGGCTCGGCTACAAAGGCAATAATCTTCTCGGGACCGATGCGGAGGAATTCTTCTTCAAGCTCACGCAACAGTCGGGCCGTGAATTCTGCCTCTGTCTCTCCCGCTTGCTGGTGCCGGTATGCGTACGCGGGAGACACGTGAGAGGTATGAGGGTACATAAATCCAGTAAAGGGAACCTTGCGAGCAAGGTTTGACGAAATTGACATGGCAGCAATGGTATTGCCATGATAGCTCTGCTGCCGGGAGACAAAGTGGAGTCGTGCCGGCTCGTTTTTCTCATAATGATACTGTCGCGCCAGCTTCAAAGCCGACTCGATCGCCTCGCTGCCACTGCCGACAAAGAATGCCTTCTCCAGTCCGTAGGGGTTTCCGCTTAGAATAAAGTCGGCCAGCTCCTCCGCCGACGAGGTGGTGTAGGACTGCGTATGGATGTAGCTGACATTCTGCATCTGCTTCATAATTGCTTGGTGAACCTCTTCTCGCCCGTGGCCGATTAAGGCCACGGCAGCACCCGCACAAGCATCGAGGACAGTCCGACCATCGGAAAGATGTAGCGTCAGCCCTTTCGCCTTCTCTACCATGACAGGGTGTTCTATGAGAGAACGATGGAGAAGGTGACCTTCACCATTTGGTTTCACAGCTGGCAAGGGTTGTCTATTTGGTCTTGAATCGATGCTATCGTCCACTCTAGAAGGTGCCATTTTGGTCAGGTTGAATGGTTCGGCGTGAGTTTAGAGTATTTCGGGGTCTATTTGCTGCTCTGCGATGAGGCCAAGTATTGGCAGAGTAAGAAAGGCTTGGAGCCAGAAAATCACTTTCACCTGTAATGAGTCCCAGTACGATGGACGTAGCAACGATTAACCCAGAATATATATTCGGGGATATATAGGATTCTCGGGCGTTGCCTCCTTTCATAACCGAGAGCCGAAATCCGCTCGGCTTTCGCAGCAACATTTCAGGCTGGTAAACAAGATCAAACGATCCTTCTCATGATCTAAAAACCAATACATCTAACAATCCGAGTAGGGCATTGTGGGACGGATCGCCCCGAGCCAGCGTCCAGATCTATCTGCTCTCCATGTCGCAGCTATTGCTGAGGGAACCCGTGTGGATCTTGTCTTGCCATCTCTTTTCTAACTTTCAAATTTTCTTTCTTCGCTCCGGGCAACTGCAGGGATAGTACACAATATTTCATCAAACACTTCGTAGCAGTCGAGAGGGTTGTATCCTCCGTATGCTATCGGCCTTAGCTGAAGGTTTTTCTTGCCTCTGTGAGCAAGTTATGATCGACGTGTGGGCTTCGCGGCCCGAGGCAAGAAGGCCAGGTCGGTAAAGAAATTGTGTTAAAGCGCAGCGCATAATAATAATAAAATAATTATTATTCATAGGGTGGGGTGGAAGTGAGTCAATTCTGGATCATCGGATTTGAAGCAGCATCGGCTTTGCTGATACCAGACCAGGACAACAGACCTTCGGATTTGAACATTCGGTTTCGGACTGTGCAAGCGGATTGATCGACATCCCTCCGGTTCAAACAATTCTCACGATAATTAGTCTCGTGCTAATGATCCTACTGTGGATTCCTTCAGGTAATGTCGGCTTTTTTCGCTTGTATAAGAACACGTTAGACGCACAAAATGCTTGCAATTCGGGAAGCCTCCCTGAGAAGGTAGAGATTCGCGACCAACAATATTGGTATCGTATGAGCATACAAGGCAGGACAAAACGCAGTCTGGAGAAACACATGTGTTATCAGCCATGGAGGAACATGACAAAGGCTCTTCAGCGCCCCCCACCAAAATAGAGGCTCCATTCCCTATCACTGCGGCAAGTGAGCCCTCGCAACCCGATCATGATGTTATGGACGGTTGGAGAGGGTGGGTAGTTGTGGGAGCTGCTTCTTGTTCTCTGTTTGTCTATCTCGGCATCATTTACTCCTGGGGGGTTCTGCAAGTTAAGCTACTCGAATCGGCCTCCTCTTCCTTGACGACGTTGACGTTCGTCGGCTCTCTGGCCACATCCTTTATGGTGTCAAGCAGTATCCCGGTAGGACTCATGATCCGAAGGTGGGGATATCAACGAACTGCCCTAGCCGGCGCAGTTCTTATGGGTCTAGGGGAGTTCCTGGCGAGCTGGGTAACCGAGCACGTCGGTGCATTATTTGTGACACATGGGATCATCTTTGGCGTCGGAGGGGGCCTAACGATTCTGGTATGTTGTTCATCACTGTATACCCTATTTGGGACCCTTTCTTTCCAGCATCTATCCTTTTGCCGCAGTCAGTCATACTGGGTCATCGTTGATCTCACAAATTGAACCAGACTTGTTCGACTGCCCCAATGCAATGGTTCGAGAAGCACCGCGGGCTAGCCGTGGGAATCGTCTTCGGGGGTGGAAGTCTAGGCTCTGCCATCATGAGTATTGCGACCAACATGATGGTGAAGCAACTGCCACTGGAATGGATATTCCGTGTTCTAGCGTTTCTACTGTGGGGTGTCTGTGCTCCAGCTGCATGCCTTATCCGACAGCCATCTCATGCGAAGAATTCAGTCCCCCGCCCACAATGGTATGAACTGCCCATTCTATACCTGAACAATCGGAAGATTCTCATACTCTGAGCCACCCAGGTATCGTTTCCGCGAAAAGGAGTTCCTTATCTTATTTGTCGGCACCGGGCTGGCTTGTTTCCCCCTTTTTGTTCCTCCATACTTTATCCCTATCTTCGCGCGATCGGTTACGCATTCTCAGAATATCGCAGTCATCATGCTGGCCATTTGGAATGTCGCCTCCACGGTGGGACGGGTAGTGGCCGGCTTCTTATCAGATTCGGTTTTGGGTCCGATCAACAGTCTTATCCTCTCGCTCACATTGGCCGGCATCAGTGCTCTCGCCATCTGGCCTTTTTCTAGTACAACGGCCGTGCTATCCGTCTTCATCGTGCTAAATGGATTCGGGTGTGGAGCCTTTTTCAGTCTGGTTCCCAGCACCATAGGCGCGATGTTTGGTGGGAAGAACACACTTGGGATACTCCCGATCATCTGGGCAGGATGGTTCGTGGGCTTCTTTTTCGTAAGCCGATGACACACTTCCCCTTTCTTTATGCCATAATATCGTACTAATCCTCCATAGGGGTCACCGATTGCATCGGGGATTTATTCGCTCTCCGGAAAAGCGGACAACATCGAGTCATATCGGCCAGCAGCATACTATGCAGGTGCTATGTCCATCGTTGGCCTTTTATTCACAATCGTTCTACGTTCAATGTATTCAACACACCTGCTTGTGAAAGTATGATGCTGCAACATAACTGCAGAGATGTCATCCGGATACTAGTGCAAGATCGATGTCCTCCAATGTAGGCCACCACTGCGACCATGCGCCCTGTTCATGAGAATAAGTGCTAACCTCCGTAAGCAGATGAGTGAGCGGTGCGCTAATATTGTCCAACTCAGAGTTAGGGGCCACCCGTTGCGCGGGCTGAGTATAAGTCACTCCTGGGCTTGCTCCCTCGGCCCCTTCAATTTCTTGTATATGTTGATTAGATCGGTCAACGACTCGAAATTCGTGGATGGACTGGTGAAGATGATCGAAGTCCTGTCGAGACTTTCCTAAATATCTTCCCCTGTCAGCAGAAGCGCGTTCGTATAAGAGTGAGGCATGTTTGAGAGTAGACACCTAATGAAATGTTAGAATTTAGCCATGCAAAATATAGAAGTTCGATAGCAAAGACGCACCCAAGCCTCTCCCAGCTTCCACACGTGCCGAAACTCTTCCAAGTAAGACAGACAGAAATTCATCAGCTGTTCAGCCTGGGGACTTCGACCAAGGTTCATGCGGGGAAATCGGTAGATGTAGAGGTTCATATACGACGCGGAGAAAGCACAGAAACCCACAAACGGCGTCATCAGATGGGCTCCACATTCTGATGCTTCGTGTAAAAGCCTGGCAATGTGTTCCGCCGCCGAGAACAGCTCTAGTGCGCTCGATTCCCACCAGCCGACGGGCGCTTCCGCTTCGAGCAGAGGCTGGTCCACCGGTCCTCTTGGGCCCGACTCTGCAGTGGGTATAAATGGAAAATATTCACGGTGGAGCATAAGAGTGCTATATGCAAATACGCATTAGCCTTTCCGTGTCGAATCGAGAAAATAAAATGACCAACCTTAGATAATAGAGAAGATTGATATACGTGAATGACTCGCCATATCCCAATGTCATATGGATCGCCACACTGTTGCTGGGATAGTGAAGGCGATCATGTTGGCCAGCCCTCCACCTTTCCAGTTGGGCCTTAGTTCTAGACCACGGAGACCCTGGGACCCAAGGGCAATTCTCGGGGGCACACATCCCCGGTGCTCGACGTCCGTCGTTAAAGATAAAAGTCATTACCTGTGCCCAGATATCAAAGCCAGAGACTAAAATCTCGTAGCATTGGGTTATATCCAAAAGGCCCGACGGCAGACGTTCAGACCAGGTGAGGTTATGCCCCGTGTGCCCGGGATAAAGGCTTACGTTGGTTCCAAAGGCAAATTCCACGGTGCTCAAAGGCCGTGCGACTTTCAGCTTCTCCATCTCGGACATGGGAAGCATGGGTGGGTTGTAAGTACCCGAGCTGATCATGCGATCCATGATAAAGCAGGCCCAAATCGTTCTGTTCTCGATCCCCGGAGCAACTGTATCTTTGGCTGCACCCGGACTGATGTCAGGATCGAGAGGGTACGGGGCAGTGCGTCGACTTTGGATGGATTGCATAATTCGGATCGCGATACCTAGCATATCCGCTCAGCCTTGTAATTCTTCCATGCGGGCGCTTTGGTCAGGACGTACCGCAGTAGACCCAAGCCTTATCGAAGTCTCGGCATCCCCACTCGTAGAGTGCCATCATCAGGAGGGCCTGAACAACCTGTATGTCAGGTGGCTGGAGAATGAGTTCAGAGAGACTCTGCCGGATGTAGTATTCATAATGTTTACTGGGTAGCAAACTCATTGTCCAAGCTGGGTTAAGCAGCGATAGTTGTGTTCTCGTTACAAGAAGGGTAACGCCAAGCAGAACCTTCGTCGCCTGCGAGCACTCCGACTGAAATGCCTGCATGAGTGTTGGGAGATGAAGAATTCCCAGCTCGGGGAACTTGTTCGTAAAAACGTTCAAAGACTTGAGGATCACACTGGTCGGAAGACTCCCAAGATGTTCATCGATCTGTGAGATGTCCACCTCCCCACTGGAAGATTCCGGTGTTAAATGCGACCTATTATGTCCTTGATCTGACGAGGCTGGCTGTAGCCTTGTTTGTTCCTCATGGTCATCCTTTGCATCCTCATTCCTACGGCGTACCTGGCCTCGCCTCCGGGAACCCTTGGAGGCTACCTGTCTCGGTCTGGTAAGAACGCAACCGGGAATCTCCGATTTCTGACACTTTTGACATGGCGGACTACCAGTATTGACACATTTGATTTTGGATTTTCTGCGCCGTCGGATATATGGATGAGCCCCGGGTTGGTCTTGAGTTTACCGAGGGTGATGTTGATGTACACTTACCGGCAAAATGTGCACGAAAGACTCGAGCGCATACTTCCCTCTGTTAGTCTCTGTCGCCAGTGATACACTACTCTTGACTGCCAAGACCCCGATCAATGAGACGGTTAGAGGAAGGGGGATGAGTTTCGGATTTGAAGACAGTCATTGAGAAGAGTCGGGAGAAAAGTTCAATCCCGATGCCAAAGCCGAGGCAAGGTCACATGACCAGTCCTGTATGCTCTCGGTATGAACATGGAGTTCATGAATTAGTGTCAAAGATGAGAATTAAAAATAAGCACATAGATGGACAGGTACTACATGAATTCAGTATGTAAGAAAACACATTGGTCTATACTCTGTCAGGTAGCTGAGAGTTAGAGAGCATGAAAATCAGGACAGCGAGGTCAGAAAACAAATAGAGGCTAGAGATAACAGACAAGATTCAGCCCAAAGACATATTAGACATTCACTACGCTTATCATGTTTCTTGGGATTAGCACCACATAGTGGTATTAGTGAAATGAGCAACCTAGGGTGTCATCACAACATGGCCAGCAGTGAGAGTAGTTCTCCCCAACCCTACTACAGCAATAGTGCAAGGGCTGAAAAGCCACGGAGACCGAGAGGGTCAGGCAAAATGAGAATAAGCGCCACGGTGGGCGTTATTGGACAACATAAAGTCTACATTTGGAATCATTCTTTGTTCGCCAGTACGGCCATCTAAGATGTCCGCGCCGGATAAACGGGAGGGCTTAAAAGGTACGCAACCGGCACCCAATGGTTAGTAATGGTCAGATAGAAAATGTGCAGCAGCGGCGGCCAGGCAACGGTAGTAAGTAACCGTGTAGTCAGTAGTTCGCTGTCGGTGGTGGTCAGTGTTGTCCATGTAGACAACAACATGGCGGAAATTGTAGCGAGAAGTAGGCAGATGCTTTGCAAAATGCCGTTTTGCCACAGGTCTTGGTAGAGCATTTTGAAAAACGAAGACTTCGTGATGCGATTCCAGGAATTTTCCTTGCTTCCAGTGACAAATGATCCTTTGGGGGCGCTTGAAATAAAATGAAATCGTATGACGGCAGAGAAGTGTGCTGCAAAGCGAGAGAATCAGTTGGGTCAGTCGCGAGGTTTCCATACTATATCAATCACAGACAAAGAGTAGGTAAAGTGGGACTTCTTACCGCCAGCTAACCAACTATTCTCCAGCTGCGAAAACGGGGAACCTCGGATTCCCGCATGGACAGTCTGGAGCCACCCGTACGCCCACATTGTAGTGACATGAAGCAAGCCCAGGATCACCTGAGCTCTGATCAGGAAGGACGAAGAAGAGGGGATGAGTGACTGGGCCATTAAAAGCCAGGGAACAGCACCAAATCCAATGACGTGGCTTACCAATCCCAGAGTGATGGCCAAACCACCGCATGCAATGCTCCACTGAAGGTGCCGTGGCATGGAGCTGTTAGTCGGTGGCCGTAATGCAAACAGTTGCTGGGAATGCCCAATATGCCATCTATTTCTCTGGGCAATGTGCCCTTCGAGGGATGTGGGAACAAGCCCGAATTGTAGCGGCTCTTGTACTTGGACCGTGCGATATCCCATGCCCCGTAATATCAGGGAAAGCTGCCAATCTTCCGAAAAGGAAAAGGTAGGATACCCACCAACATCAACGATTGCGTTTCGCCGGAACACCGCCCCTGATCCTGCATCAATAGCACGCCCACAGCGGTCTAGTTCGGCGTTCTGACAGGTGTAAAAATGAAGGCGAGATTGCGAGAGGGGGTCCCCAGCAGGAAGGTTGTCAAAATATTGCCGTGTAGTGACCAACGCTGTCTCAGGGTTGAGAAGCAAGTGAGGCAGTGTTGCTCTGAGGAACTCCGGCTTTGGGATGGAATCCGCGTCCAAAATAGCACAAAACTCCGGCGGAGCATCCTTCTGAACAGTGAATAGTGCATAGTTCAGGTTTCCGGCTTTGGCAAATACCCGGCCTGACTGCCGTCCGCGTGTGTGGTAGAAGAGAAAAGGCCATTTCGAGTGCAACTCTGAGATAGCATCACGCAGCTGGGTTGAGGCGCCATCGTCAAGTAGAAGTACTCTCAACTGAGACTCTGGATAGTCCATAGTGCAGGCAGCGCGAACGGTGTCCAAGATCACACTAACTGGCTCACCGCAGCAGGGGATCAAGACATCGACTCGTGGCAAGTTTTGGTTGCCCCGGAGCCGTAGCCTTTTTCGCGGCCCGCGTTCAGGATCCCCACCGGCTGTAACGGTGAGGCGCTGATCTTGATAAGACAAGCCTGGTCGTCGGTTAGCGTTATAGGGCTCCATAATCCGACGTAAAGTAAGGCATAGCTTGAACTTACGACCAAATATAACTTCGACAGCCAACATTAACCACATCTGCCAGGATTGCTGAGCCTCCAGCAGAATCATAAGTAAGCGGACAGGATAATAGACGTTCGAGGTCCATATTGCTGCTCGGGCTGCATGGTAGAGATACTTGCGGTATCGCCGTCCCGACCATATGCGCGAGTCAGGTGGAAGTTCTTCGATGTCGCCGACATATTCAGCAATCATCTCTTGCTAGCACGATGCCAAGAAGTAGGTCCTTCGTCTATTTCGGAGTTGATCAAGGTCTTCCTCCTTGTGTTGATGCCTCAGCAATCGAAGTCGTGTCCCTGGCTTTGTTCTTCTGTTCTTTGTCTAAACACCGCGCATGATGCACATAAGTCTCTTTCCCAGTCTGTGAGACGAACTGGAATAGGGGTAAACACACAACCTAGACGAGAAAACTAAATCATAAGCTGCTCCTGGGGAAACGTCGGTGTGTGGCTTGGTCTTTGTTCTAGAATTTACCATGAACGGCCCACTAATTCCCCGTTTGGGGAGATTCTAGATCACCAGGAGGCGCCAACCCTAATTATGTTTAAAAGGGGGCGTTCAAGGAGCGCCGCTCATTGAACGCTGCCTTTCCGTCAACATCCGGCATGGGAATACGTAGTAGAATTATGCTAAGCATTGACCCGGTATTGACTGGAGTAAACTGAAAGAACGAGAACTGTTCTCCCCACAGTCCTCGGGGTGGAGTTCCGCTCACTTTGTCTCATCATAAAGGGATAACCGGTGTATTGGAATGACACATGCTTTGGCTGGTAAATCTGTCCGTGCCATATCGGCCAAGTGATTGGCCGCTATTCGTGGAATTTGGCAGAGGAAAGTCCAATGAGCAAGCCACCATACCTTTCACAGACAACACATCTCACTGTGAAGCTGAGATTATCGAAGTAGTAGCTCCTTCGAGTTATTCGAATCATCGTACTCCGTATAGCTGAAACGATGCCAGTTTCAAAGTTTCCAACAACGGTAACGTCGGAGAAACACCATACCTCCTGAATACCCAATACGTCTGCCGGAAGTGCAACCCGGGGGTCTTTTAAGCGACATTCACAAGTCCAAAAATAGATATCGGAAACGGATGTGTTGACACCACGGCTAGCATCTGCACTAGGCTTATTTAGGTGTGGTGGCTATTCCCCGCCGGAATCGGAAGAGATATACGCCGTCTCTTCATCTTGCTCCAAGAATATGACCTCGGTATCGTATTCATAGTATAGCGGCAATCTGTGACTCGTTCTCTTTATTCTTAACATGTAAAGGTGGTCAGATCTGAAAATTATGGGTGCTTCACTTTAAGCGTGGAGTATATGGTATACCTGGCAGAACTCGCAAGATTGCTGAAATATATATTTCCATGAATGAGGTATACCATCACATTGGAGTTAATTGATACACCTGGATTCACAATTCCCATATTTTCCAGGACTATTCTGCCTTTCTATGGCAGTCAAAGCAGCTGTCTGGTACAGCTTCTCAAGGTCAGATCGTACTCAATGTTTTATGCAAAAACGTAGTAACAAATGTCACATGACAATGTGACAGTTGACAGACAGGGTAATTTGATTGAAACCAAATGGCAACTCGTAAAATAAACTAAACCCCTTTGGGAAGACGTCTGCCGTTTCCAGTTCCATTGTATTTAGCCTTCCTTTTGCGGCAAGAGCTATTCTACATGCAGTCTAGCGTGCCAATTAGCCTTCCTGAACAGGCACGTTGTCTGATTGTGGAATCTACTGGAGTAAAACCGTGCTATCGTTACCGCAGTCGGCCTACAAGAGCAATAGAAGCCGTAGAATGAAATTATTAATCCAATTTGATCAGTGGTCAATAGTCTGGGGAAGGATCAATACCGCCATCTCGGTGCTCTGCGGGTATTTAGAGGACTTTCTCATGAAGCAAAACCACTTTCGCGCCGCCGAGTATATCCGACGAGTCGCACAGCAACCTCGCAACCCCAGGTAGTCATCTATACAACCTGTGCGTACTTCTCCAATGCGAGATGAAGCCTTCCCCACCGTGCCTCGTGCCATTTCCGCAGGTCTTCCCATTCAGGAAGCGATGCTTTGGCAAACTGCAGCCAACCACCGACAATGAAATCTGCATACGATACCGTATTGCCCTCCAGAAACGGACCCTCCGTATAATTGTAGATCTTGGCCAACTCGGCAAGCGCTGACTTGAATCCTTCTAGGATAATCCGTCTGGCCTCCCCCGTGACCGTCAGATCGTCCCAGCTTTCTACCCCGCTCTGGCCGCAAAGGTGGCATGGGATACCTCAGCCGTCTCCGGATTCAAAGGCATGCCGTGGAAGAAGAGAATCGCAAAGCGCGAGAAAAGCGCATCCACGTGAGCGTTGAACGAGGCATGTAGACCCAAGCTCGAGCGGGGAAATAGCTGCGGTGCATCGGGGTATGCTTTCTCCAGGTAGAGCGCGATGTCGAACGAGTCTCCCACCCTTTCCCCGGTGGAAGGATCTTCGATTATAGGCAGAGTGTAGAACGGACTGCCATTGCTGAATGTGCGGCTGGGCGGTACGCCGAGCGCTTTGCGCGTTGATGCTACCTCAGGAAGATCCACCCATTCAGTCCGGTATGATACGCGTTTAAAGTTCAGCGAGTATCTTAGCGATGACATGGATTAGTCTCTTTCTTGAATAACAGATTTGGTGTCAAGGAACAGGCTGAAAAACCTACCGTGCTTTCCACGGATTGGAAGCGAAACACCTCACTGGCGGACCGGATGCGATATCATACAGGATAATTGGTTGAGAAGAGCTCATGATTGATGTGGCAAAGGTTATGAAATAATTAACAGTCAAAGGAATGGACACTCGGGTCTTAAAACAATTTTATCGATCTGGTTGAGAACTCCAATGACCGACGCTCGTCTCCAATTCAATGTCCCACAATCTTCACGTCACATTGCCCAGAGTATCCCTTGCTTTCTCAGTCTACTCGTAAATATGGTGGGGGACAGCTAATGTGAATTTTGCAGCAAGACCCTGCCCTCCTTGCTTTTATCTTTATTTTTTATCTTTATTTTTTGTTTCCCCCTTTGCTCCCACTGACAAAGCACCAGATTCGAGTGTAACCATCCATTGCTTCGGTTACAGGCATCGAATGGATTCTAACAGCCAATACTTGCGATGTATCGATTAAAGATCATAGAGAAAATACTAATAATGTCTCTCACAGCATGCATGACAAGTGATACAAGCGATAGGCGATGGAAACCAACAATGCAGCTGTGGAGAGAGGTATGTTCTGAATTGGTTTAGAAGGTGGTTCACACTGTGGGGTCCTTAGGAGCAGTCTCTCCAGAGGCTGTCTTGTCGAACTAGCTCTTGTGCATGATAATCACAAGGAACAGTTGTTCAAGCGGAATCTGGCTTGAGAAAAGGGTTTGGAATGTGGGTGACCGGGCTAACGTCTTCTGGTATAGCATGGTATGAGGCTGGGGCCAATCATAACTAACGCCTGGCAATGAGTCATCATTAGTACAAAGTATGTTATGCAGAGGATTTCTTAAGGTACATAATTCACTGGACAGATGTAAGATATCAACCAGTTTTTGATCTCCTTTACTAGATTATTCGCATCACCTTCCCAGATCACAGGACACTGATTAGATACATGAATATATATCACTAGTTTTCCATTGTGACTAGCACTGGGAACTCCCGTAGTCGGCCCCTACTCGCCAGTGGGTCGCTCCTCTGTTGACAGTGGCCGAGGCGTTTGACTCTCCTACCAAGTATACCGACCTCATCCGTTATCGATTTTTTGAGCATTGGCTCCCATTTATCGGATCGTTCTGCGAGGGTACCCTTGTAAGTGAATTATGCTGCCTCGGCGTGAGAATATAATACTGGGGATGAAACATGAGAAGGAGGCATCTGAATATGTCTGGCTTTATTAGCGTGGAGGAGAAAGCATCTTATCTCTTTGATTCTTTGAATTTCTTTGATATAGACCTGAAGCTCCGATTAGGGGTAATAAGGGTACTTATTAAGCTGTGGTCACTGCTGAAGGTATTCTCCTTCCCGGTGTGAGTGCTTGCTGCTTGCCTGCTGCATAAGAGCACATGACCGAGCAGCGTGAGGCGGCACACTGGCCCCCGGTAAAGTTGCTGGGTTCTGGTCGATGATAATTCACTTTACTTACCGTATACATTGAGGATATACTTAAATGGGGCATTGGTTGTCAGGAAACTATATGTCTCCTTCGCGGGGAGAATAGAAAATCAAAGATAGTCTTTGGTAGTTCTCCTGCAATTTATACTCCGCATATACATATACCGATTACCGAGTTCTATAATTAATAACTTATATCTATAATATACACTTATTCTGTATTCTACATCAAACTGCTAGGATCCCTGAACCCTAGCATAAACCGCTCCGCTCATCTTGGGCAGTGGCCCTTGATCCGCTGGTCTGTCCCTAGTATTCTAGTATTTGATGAGCAGCTTTTTAACTATGAGGCAGACCGCCTGAGCTTGCTGAGCGAACAAACTTCATATTGTGCCGTGTGTATTCGTAGATCAAACCAGATAAACTCCGCGCCCTCTAAGTCGTAGATGCTAATAACGCTATAAAAGTACATGCAATTCCCATTCCATGTCATAGACCCGAATCCGGTTCAAGTTCATCAAGATACCAGCAGAAAGCAGAGCAGACCGCCGAACCATCGCATACAAGGCCTTAGAGATTCCCAATGTCCCACCAGGCGGAAAACCCATCAATATTCCCCATGCCGGACTCGGGTTCCTGATAGTCCATATTGTCCATGTCCGGAAACTGGCCCGTCCAGAGCCACGGCGTATTCATCATGAGACTGTCAGCCGGTGCGACCAACTTGTCGGCGAACGCAAGACTGTCTGGAGTCGATTGCATAGAGGACATGTTGGCCAGGCTCGGTTGCATATGGGCGGCCTGTCCGCCATCCGCCGTATTGACATGGACTTCAGGGGACATGGCCACGATGACCTCCAGCGTACAGGAGCTTTCCCCCGCGTCGTCTCGCGAGATGGCGGGGATCAACGTGGGATGTAATAAGCCACCAGACATCTCCTGTGGCTCCGGCACACAGTTGATTTGGAGAAGGTCCCACATCAACGGGATACTCAGGTGGATCTTGGACGGCATCCACTCGTAGTTCACGTTTTCTGAGCCGCATGCAATTCGCGTCATCTTGTCCAGAGTTTGGTCCTGAAAGGTAGTTAGCATTGGATGTGGAGCGCTCGACGCAGGGTACCCACTAAGGCTTTGCAGGCTGCAGAGAAAGGAACAAAACTTTTCAGAAAGGTCCGACATTTATCGAAGTCGATTATGGATTTCTGTTTGAGTCGTGGATCCGCTGCGCAACAATAATAAAGATGTACTGTCGCTGCAATCGCGGCGGCGTGCCCGAAAAAGGGATCAACTAGGCGCATTTTCCTTTCGGAGACCATATCGATCATACGGACAAGCCAGGTCGCATGCAACACAACCAGCTCTGAAGAGCGTCTCCAAAAGGCGTTGGGGATGGAGAGGTTCGGGTTCGACTGTGATGCTACGATGTAGAGGAAAGGGTGGTTCAGCACGGTCAAAATGCAATGATACGTAAACTGCGCTTTCAACCAGGGTGTCCAGTACCCCCGGTTCATGCGCAGCTCCTCTGCCTTCCGCTCATAGAATTTGACCGAGTCGTATCGGTGGCACTGAGACAGCTTGTTCTCCACCTCCGTCAGGTCCGAGAGTATCATCGTATACATTGAATCATGGCGCCAGGGCTCCTTGAGTCGATTTTGTGCGCAGTCGGACACATAGGCGCGAACCCTGCTCCAAACCCATCCGAAATGAACCGCCAGGCTCCAAATGCCTATGTCCTCGGGCGTGGAACAACCAATATCATCCCGCGGCAACTTGGGCGGCTTTGATTCGAAATCCTTGGAATATCCCCGGTCTCCGCCGTGGGGAGCACAAAATGGACGCAGGTTCTCGGCTGGGAGGCTGAGAAACCCATTTTGTTGGCCGTATGTCTGTTCCAGTGATTGGAGACTCCAGAACAAGCGTTTCTTTCGTTCAGTCAAAGGACTCTCAGGAGGATATCCGGAGTCTATGTCCATCATCGCGGACCGGCAAAGCTGAAAAGCGAGGCCAAGATGGAACCGACCGAGGTGCACGTCCCCGTCTACATTCTGTTAGTATGCGCATCGTTCAGCACAGTCCCCTCGGGACGATCAAACGGACCTATGAATGAAGAATATGAAAGCAGGCATAGACTTTCGATGGTTTCGAGGTCCACTGAGCCATTTGCCACGCGGAGCATGATCAATGTTCGCGCGGTATTTCCATAACGCTGCGACTGCGACGGCTCACGCGAAAAGCGCGCAGTCAGCGCTAGGACGCTATAGATAAGCTCGTCCGAAAGACTACCCTTGTCTTCGAGGTCTTCATAATCGAAGCACCAGATCGGCTGCCGATGACAGTAGTGAAAATACAGCTCCAGGGATTTGCTGACTGCAGCGGAAGAGGGATGGGGATTTGAGTCCTCATTATTGCCGAATCCAAAAGGAAAAGAACCCGACCCGGGAGAGAAGCGCTCAAAAGCTGGTTCGCCAGAGGATGGGTTGCTGTTCTTTGAGTAGGGTGCCTCTGGTATATCTTCGAGCTCCTCGCGTTTTTGGTCTTGACGGGCCGCCTTGACCGGTCTAGAAAGAAAGGTCAGAAGAACATTCGGACGCAGCGGGATATAGTATACTCTCTACCTGGAGCCACCTAGGATGAGATTTACCTTCTCTTCCAAGGACGCCAGCCGGTCTTCCTATGATATATGTGAATCCATGTCCAATCAGTAGATGATGGGAGTTATGTGTTACATACAGATTGTCCACCCCGCGATGCCCTCCGGGCCGATGTATAGAGACACGGCTGATTTAAGCGGACGCAGTTTGAACAAGCTGGTCTTTCTGCGGGACAACGAGTTTTCTTCCTCCTGTAGACATATGTCGTTGGCGTCTACAAGGCAACACATCGACGAACGGGCGGGGATAGGGAAGCGACTTACCTGCAATTCAGGCAGGCCTCATGTGAACGCAACCTCCCCCGATTGCTCTCCCGTGGCATCATACTCGCTGCAGACAAAAGGCAAGAGACATGGTTGGAAGAAGTGAGGTACAATGACCATAAGAATAGAGAAAGTTAATCAAAGGATATAGCTCTCCGGTGATGTAAGGGGCGATGATAAATACCCCCCACCATGGCCAGCCATGGTGAATTAAGCATGTAGCAGGGAAGGAGGGAGGGAGGGGAAAGGAGAAAAAAATATTAACATAAAATAATAATCATAATAACAATAGCAATGATCAACCAAATGCAACAGCAGGAAGGAGAATTCCCGATAAGATGCCGAAGACTCGTACTGGAGTGAAGCTGCAGCTGTGGATAGAAAGGGCAAATGACAGCCTCGTGACCCCGCCCTGGGTTGGCCCTAAAACGACGCCAATCCGTGGATCCAGTCTGAGAATTGCAGGATCTAGATTCCCAGAACTTTGCCTTGAAACGGTTAAAAGTTCCCTGCGAGGAATACTAGCCGCTTCCCCCCACATGCACTATTGTTAGATTGCTCTTGCTTTTATTTTTGTTGATTTTTGTTTTGGTGACTGCCCGCCACCACATGGAGAACAGGCAGAGCAAACATTCCCATAAAATTCCTAATGGGGGCTCGAGAATTGGAGATTACCTAGTAGTGGAATATTTTGCGGAAAGTGAATAAGGAGAAAAAAAAATAGATCGTTCATCCACAGGCATTGATCACACATGATGCAAGCCAACGAGGTGTCGACCTTTGAGAACCCCACCATTAGGTTCAGCATCGTTATCATGGCAATGCCTATCTAATCAAAAAATTACCTATCTATTGCATTCTGATAATGAGGGACAGCGGAGATCCCCCGGAAAATGCACAGTCACAATCCAGATTGTCCAACTTGGGCCGTCTTTGGTCAACCGCCTACATTGCCTTATCTGGCTCAGAACTTTACAGTTGGAACAGTGTATAACACCGATACTCATGAATGATAACTCCAAAAGTCATAATTCAATAAATGTCTAGATACTATGCGTTATAGTCTTCAATGCAGTAAAACGAACGCCCTTCAGACCGTGATATTCTTGTAAGCAATGACGTCAAGAGGAAAAGAATACTCCTGCAACATGGTGATCCGCTATTCCCATTGCAACCGAATGCAAGAAAAGAAAAAAAAAATATGAATAAAAAGGGGAGACGCTGAACAACTTGACATGCAATTTAAAAGACAAGTGTTGCATTAGGTTGGCAGCCTGAACCACCACAGCAACCGCCGGCCGCTGTTGACCCCTTAGCCTGAGCATCTAGCTTGTTGCAGAAGGTCATGTCCTCCTCACTGGTGGTGGCGGTGGTCGGAAGTGTTTGGCGAGTTGGCCAGATCTCACGACCTGCTTCCTGCTCCTTCTTGTAGTGCTCCATAACAAGCTCGCGCACAACTGTCTGGAGGTGGAGGGATTCCTTATCCATATGAGTACCTAGGTTCTTTTGGGTGTTTATGCACAGGTCCTTGTCCTCAGACATGATCCGCTTGTATGTTTGACTGATCAACTCGAAATCTTCGTCGCTAGAGTTCTTGTTGCGGTAAACCTCATACCGCATCGTGCTTTTGGTGGCGGAAGTCGGCACAAATCTCTGCATGACGAAAAGGTGGGGGCTATCTAACGGTTAGTGTGGTTGATCATTGAGAAGAGAAACCCGTAAGCACTTACGAAACAGTCATAGAAGCGTTGGGAAAGTAATAAGTGCTGGCAATCCTCAAGTCACGGGTAATTTGGTCTGGGGTGGAGGTATCGACATTGTGGGAAGTATCTGGGTGGTAGCGTTCGGTATAGTCGCCGGCAAGGATCTTCCAGTTGTACTCTCCCTCCAAGTCCCAGGTGTGGTCGAAGTTGTAATCGTCCCAGTTGATGCCACTGAAGCGCTCCTGCAAATCAACCTTACTGAAATCACTTTCCCACGCAATCTCGGGCTTTTCCTGGGCGTCCAGGTTGACCCATATGAATCCATTATTATCAACGTGGACATGGATCTGGAACAGGCCATTCTTGTTCTTGTCAAATCCATCGAGATCCTGATAGCCAGGAGCCTTCGCAAGTTTGCCATTGAGGCCATACGACCAGCCGTGGTACTTGCAGGCGAAGATTCTGGCCTTGCCCTCCTGCTCAGTCACCACGGGGAAAGCACGGTGTCGGCAGACGTTGTGGAAAGCATTAAAACCGCCATCTTTGTCGCGGACTAGAATAAAAGGGTACCCCGCAATGTTATAGACCAAGTAGTCACCGGTGCTGGGGAGGCGCATCTTGTGGGTGATCAACATCCACTTGCGGGAAAAGATCGCACGGCGCTCTAGCTCCCACATCTCGGGAGAGGTGTACCAGTTGGCAGGCAAAGACTCGTCATTCGGTGGGGTGGCACCTGAGGAGGCGACCTCATCTTGGCCGAAGTAGTTCTTCCAGATAGAGGACATTTTCTTTTGGGGTGCTCTGCTGAGGTTCGAAGTTGGAATTAGATAGATCGGGCTTAATAAAGCGAGGACTAGATGGTGGTATTTGCTCCGGAATGATCCATCAAGTGTGCAAATATGGCTTGCTTTTTATAATTCAGCCATGCTTTTATTTCCCTTATCACCTGAACCAGCCTCTATGAAGGCTGCCCCGTGGGGATGGCCCAGACCTGTGGTTCGTACCGGTCACAGGATCGGGACGGAGTATACCAGCCGTGCGCCGGCCGACGGTTCAGAGAGCCGAGATAAGTCTGTAGGTGGTCATAAAAAGGAAGCTACAAGATACCTGGCGCCCAGACCCAGGCCTGGGGGACGCCACACGGCATTTACCGTTCCTGATGCCGTGTTTATCATTCGGAGAGACCCCCATTGGGTCGATTCTGGCTTGGCACTAACGGGCAGAAAGGTTCCTTTACCCAGAACGGTCATACATTCCAGTTATCAGATGTGCCCTAAAGGCCGCATGAGGGAGAGATGTTCGCTTTGATGATAACCTCAATGCCATTGTTTATGCTGCATGCCGTTTGTATTTTACTCTAGGCACTCGTAGGACTTGGCCCCTGGCTTGGATAGGCCATCGATCTTGGTAGAACCCTTCTAATGCATTCTGCACAACGTGTATATTAAAACACTACCCCGGATTCCGTACATGTTCTGCAGCTGCAGCTCATCCTATACACCGAAAGATTGTTCGCCCCTTTGCACCATCCAGCCCCAGCGATGTCACCCCTAGAGGACACCATCCATCACCTGCATTCTGGCGACCCAGGACCGATGCCCGAGAAATCCGAGAAAGCGCCATACCAGCACTCAGACCTATCTTCCGAACATGCCACGGATATTCATCACGGTACTATTTTGGGCAATGAGGTCCACGCTGGACTGCAACGTAGACTCGGCAATCGTCAAATCCAGCTTGTCGCCATTGGTGGATCCATTGGAACTGCCATATTCGTGACCATCGGAGACGCACTCCGTAAATCAGGTCCCGGTGGGCTGCTGCTAGCATTTCTGATCTATAATGCCATGCTAGCTATGGTCAACAACTCTATGGCGGAAATGTCGACATACATGCCCGTGAGTGGTGGCTTCATCTACATGGCCGGCAAATGGGTCGACGATGCCCTAGCTTCATGGTCGGCTGGAACTTTTTCCTCTATGAAGCCATCATGATCCCCTTCGAAATTACAGCGATCAATATGGTGCTGTCCTTTTGGCGTAACGATATCCCCCCTGCGGCTGTCTGCGTTGCTTGTATTGTAATATACGCGTGAGGTTCCCTGGTGCATCCGAGCCATATCCATGCGATCATCCCTTACCCAAGCGGTCTGGTTCACCCGGCCCCTGCGACTACGTGCTAAGACTTGTGTATAGTTGTCTGAATGCCCTGGCTGTCAAAGGCTATGGCGAAGCCGAGTTCTGGCTTTCCGGTGGGAAAGTCATCCTGATATTCATCCTGTTCGCCTTTACTTTTGTCACAATGGTAGGGGGTAACCCACAGCACGATGTCTTTGGGTTCCGTCATTGGCGCCATCCTGGCCCGTTCGCAGAATATCTCCACACGAACGACCTTGGGCGATTCGAAGGGTTCTTAGCCGCACTATGGGCGGCCTCGTACACTTGTGTCGGCCCGGAGTACATCTCAATGGTAGCTGCCGAAGCAAAGCATCCTCGTATCTACATCAAAAATGCGTTCAAGACTGCTTACTGGCGTTTCGGAGTCTTCTTCGTGGGAAGCGCTCTTTGCTGCGGTATCCTAGTCGCCTATAATGATCCCACTTTGGTCGCAGTGTACTCCGGTGAGTCTGAGGGTGCAGGAACTGCTGCTGCGTCGCCGTACGTAATCGCAATGGGTAACCTAGGTGTCGGTGTATTGCCACATATTGTCAGTGCCCTCCTAGTTACGACTATCTTTTCCGCCGGCAACACGTACACTTACTGCGCCACGAGGAGTCTATATGGCCTCAGTGTTGATGGTAAGGCGCCAAAATTCTTGAGCAAATGTACCAAGGGAGGGGTGCCAATCCGCTGCGTCGCTGTAGTCATGGCGTTCCCCTTTCTTTCCTTCTTAACATTATCTAGCAGCTCGTCGCAGGTCTTGACCTGGCTCATGAATCTGTTGACGGCAGCAGCCATTATCGATTATATTGTCATGTGTGTCACATATATTTGGTTCTATCGAGCATGCAAAGTTCAGGCTTCGACCGTTCCAAGCTTCCGTACAAGGGCTGGTTTCAGCCTTGGTGCGCCATTATCGGCCTTCTGT